CATGATGCGATTTTCATCGGCTTTGAGCAGTGTCCAGCTTTCAGCACCATAAAGCAAAGCGCTCCAAACCAGTGTGTTGACCTATTTTATTTTCAGACCGGTTGAGATGTTCCTGTCATTCCAAAGTACATGCAGGTCAACCATTCTCTTCTTTGCTATAGCTATTCTGATCTTTACAGCTGGCGTCGCTGTTCTTTGTAGATCCAAGATATTTGAAGCTTTCCACATCTTTGACTGTTTCCCCGTCGATCTGGATGCTACAATCGGTATCTGAGGTTTTACCAGCACATTTTAACATTTAAATACAAGTTGAGTTTCTTGCCGGCATCGTTTACTGCAAGTGTGAAACTTTCAATTCCATCTTTGGAAGATTCGATTCATAAGTGCTGTGTCGTCAGCATATCTAAGATTTGAGATGTTTTTGCCAAATTGATTTTAATCACTCATGCGCGAAATATGCATCACATCAGTTGCATCACATGAAAGAGGAGAAGCTAAACTTTACAAATATATCGTCCTTGTTTTCACGAAGTGACGGTAGTGAGGAAAATCGTAACGCGAAGTGAATGCAATTTTTTTTTCACTACCGTCATTTATTAATTTTAATTGTGATTTAGTTATGATATAACATCGATAATTCTCGGTTTCGTTTTTTTCTGGGACGCATTGTATGGTGATCGGGTAGGCCCTCTTGTGCATTGACTTAACTATTATATACATAAAACATGTCCCTATTGAATATGTCAACCACATGACATTGTAGTTAGTTGGTTGAAATCAAGAAGTTTGCAGCAGATTTCAAAACAATGGTCGAATATATACTAAATGGCACCTCTCCAACAGAACAAGAACATGTATAAATCTAGACAGGCGCGGATCCAGGGGGGCCAGCGGGCCCTGTCCCCCCCCCCCCCCCCCCCCCCCCTCCCGCAAAAAAAGAGGAAGAGAGAAGGGAAAGGGAAAGAGGAGAGAAAGGGAAAGAAAGAAGAGGAAGAAAAAAAGAAAAAGGGGGAAAGAAGGATATCGGGGGACCGAAAGGGCCTTGCCTCCCAGCTGTTACCTACCCCCGCCCCCCCCCCCCTCCCCCTCCCGCAAAAAAAGAGAAAGAGAGAAGGGAAAGGGAAAGAAGAGGAAGAAAACAAGAAAAAGGGGGAAAAGAAGGAGATCGGGGGACCGAAAGGGCCTTGCCTCCCAGCTGTTACCTAAACCCGCCCCCCCCCCCCCACCCCCGCCCCCAAAAAGGGGGGAGGAAGGGAAAGAAAACGGAAAGGGAACAAAAACAGGAAGAAGAAAAGAAAAGGGTGAAAAGAAGGGGGAACAGTTGCGATTATTCCCGCCAAAAACGTGTGGATCGGGGGGGGCGAAAGGCCTTTGCCTCCCCACATCAAACTTAACATAGAGAGAAGGAAAAGAGGAGAGAAAGGGAAAGAAACAAAGAGAAAGAAGAAAGGTATAGGGGGATCAGTTGCGAATTTTCCCGCCAACAAGGTGTAGATCGGGGGGGGGGCACTGGCGTACTTATGGGGGAGGGGGCTTGGGTAGACAGATGCCCCCAAATATAATTCAAACGTGGTTTATTTCTAATTTAATACCAGTGATTTACAAATGTTGCTGAAATGACATAATTTCCCGAAAATTTTGCTCAATCTCAATACTTTTTATGCGTTTGTTGGAAAATGGCAAACTCCTAGAAAAAAAGGGAAAGAAATAGTAACCTGCCTTTCTCAAAAAATTATGAGGCGTCAAAATTTGCTCATCTGATCGTGAATAAATGCATAAAACTCCTGAGCTTCCGGGGACTCTGCCCCCTGGATTTCACCTAGAGCCCTAAGGCGGGCACCTGGATGCTCGTCTGACGGTAATTCAATGCTTAAAACCCCTGAGCTTCTGGGTTCTCCGCCCCCTGGATCTCACGCCAATAAGTGTCCTGCCAGTGTCACAAATAAGGTATACAAATATGCTTGTCTGACCGTTATAAAATGCCTAAAACCCCTGAGCTTCTAACCCATGCAAATTAGTGACCAGCCAGTGTCACAAATAAGGTATACAAAATTATGCTCATCTGACGGTAATTTAATGTATAAAACCCCTGAGCTTCTTTGGGCTCCGCCCCTTGGACCCCACACCCATTTGTGTCCTGCCAGTGTCACAAATAAGGTATCAAAATATGCTCATCTGACCGTAATTTATTGCCCAAAACCTCTGAGCTTCCACGGGCTCCGCCCCCTGGAACCCCACGCCAATTCGTGACCTGCCAGTGTCACAAATAAGGTTTCAAAATATGCTCACCTGACGGTAATTAAATGTATATAACCCCCGAGCTTCTGTGGGCTCCGCCCCTTGGACCCCACACCAATTTGTGTCCTGCCAGTGTCACAAATAAGGTATAAAAATATGCTCTTCTGACCGTGTTTCATTGCCCAAAACCCCTGAGCTTCCGAGGGCTCTGCCCCCTGGACCCCCAATCAGATTTTAAAGGGGCATTTATCGGAGGTGAAGGGGGCACTTAACTGAAGAAAAAAGGAGTAACTTATCGTACCTGAAAAAGGTCACTTACCAGAGAAGGAGCACTTACGAGAAGGGGCTCTTTTTTTTAATGGGGCACTTATCATTAGGAAAAGGGGCACATGTGAAAGTATAAAGCTGCGCTTATCCAAGTTAAATTGGGGGGAATTATTAAAAGGGGGAAGGGGCACCTGTCAGATTAAATAGGTCAATTTCAGAGGTGAATGGGGCACTTATCGTTCCTAACTAGGGCCCTTACTAGAAATTAAAAAGGGAACTAATGAGAATGGAAAATGGACACTTATTGCAACGGAAAATGGGAACTTGTCGAAGAAAGAGGGCACTTGTCAAAGTAAAAGGGGAACTATTCCTATGTAAAAAGGGGCACTTCTTTAAAAGTTAAAGTGGCACTTTTAGGGTGGTTGAAAAAGTGGGGGGGGGGGCACTGTGATTTAGACCTTTTCTATTCAAACTCCTGGATCCTCTACTCAATTGCATAAGGTTTGTCTACGTGAGGAGAATGCTCGAGACGAGACGTGGAGGGAGGTGGGAGGGAGTGTACATCTTCTTTGGAAAATGTTGATCCATACATGATTAGACCACCCCCCCCCCCCCCTCTCCTCCACTCACACATATACAAAAACATCAACAAATTTCACTCCACATAATTTGTACGTCCTCCATAAGTGTTGTGGTTAAAAATGAATGTCATCACAAAAAACACATCTTTATCCAATAAATGCCAATGATACACAATTTTTTATTTTTCTTCAAAATGTTTCCTATACAATAATTACTCAATTACATACAATGAAATACTGGCAGCAGGGCACACAAGACTCACAAAATACAATATTGTAGTGCCCAAATGCAACACAAAACAGCAATATTACGTCATGAACAGAAATGCAAATTTTGAAATGCATCGTTTGAACAGTGCAGGTTAAATTAATGTAATATTTCATGTTTTGGTAGGCTCTACACCACATCACTTATGGAAAAATGTATAAATAAATGAATGTCTCATATAACAAATATGCAAAAGGGGAAGTCCCTCTTGGCTTAAAGTTGGATGTGATGCGAGAATAATCAGAAGGGGAAAAAAAAATCAGGGAAGGCGAGGAAAATTCATTTTTTGTATAATTTCTGAGCTTTTTTTTTTTTTTAGGATTGTAGAAAACTCCTACTCAAAACTAGATTTCCATAGGATATAGAAATGTTATATTATAAAGCTATATACAGTCAGTAGTGAATCACTTTTCATACAAGACTACAAGACAAGTGTCATTTACAAAATATTTTTTGTACATACATATGAAAAAAAAGTGGTCGAATAATGAATCATCAATAAATGTAATCTGTTTTTTCATAATTACTACACTTTATCACCAAGTGTAACCGCAGTCACCCATTTTTAAATGTTAGTTTTAGTAACAAATTTGCCACATGCATATCCTCAACTAAATCATGTATTCAGAAAACCTAACTGTTTATTCCGAAGAATACTAGAACTGATATATATATATATATATATATATATATACCTTATTCTTCATATTCCAGATTAGGACCTATGTCTGTGCTTGGTAATTTCTGTCTCTTTCAAAATATGTCTAAATGCAGTTTTATTACAACAAAAGGATATTGTACTGGGCAATGATGAGAATATATCAATGAGAAACAATAACTTGTGTTTCCTAATTCATGAAATGAAAAAGACATTTTTCTTTGCAGCACATAACAATGGTATATGTGTCGGTAATAAATTGTCATAAAATCTTTTAGTCATAGCATAACATGTCTCCATTGTAAGTCTTGACATCAAATGTTGCATATTTCCAAGAATTAGGATATAGATGGAAAGCCTCATGTCTGGAACAGGACAAAGACACCTAGCAAGCAAGCAAGCAAGAACTGCAACATAATAATATAAATAGTTCGTTCTTATATAGCGCATTTCAGGACCTCTCAAAGCACTTTACAGATTTATTATTACCCCGGTCATCAGATTCAGGCTTATCCGCACACAATGTATGCACATTCTCCCCTCCCTGGGGAGCATTCCAGCCAGGCGTCATTTTTACAAGCACACACATGCTCACCTAACCACATTAACTTTCACATCCTACCGGGTACCCATTTATCATCTGAGTGAAGAGTGGCAAATGTAGATCAATGTCTAGTAGGGACTTTTAGATTTATACAACAACAGCGTAGACTGCCGCGTGTGACATTGTATTAAGGCACTGGGCCATGCCCATTAAGGCACTGGGCCATGCCCGGCAGTGCCTTAAAAGGACGTCACATTACCTTAAAAGGATGTCCACGTTCTCGTTGTGTAAATCTAAAAGTCTTTATTAGTGCTGCAATGGGACTTGAAACGAGGACTTCGCGATCCACAGTCCGGTGACATATCCCCCCTCTTACTATTTACTTTCTACTCCATAGATGACAACTCCTGAATACCTAGAGAAAAATCGAATTCAAAATGACTGAAACATGGCCAATTAAATCAAGAAGACGATGCCTTCGGACACCATGATCTGATTGGCATCTTGCATGCTGGAGAGGGCGCTGTCTATCTCTGCCTGGCCGAACGGAGCTTCCTCGTGTTCTTTGGTGAGAGCTTCTGTGACCTGGGACATCGGGATCGACTGGGCGTGCAGCGCATCGAAGGTCTTGTGCATGGTGGCCTTGAAGAGCTTCAGTCTGTTATACAAGAAGAGCAGACAGAAAATAACGAATGGCTTACCAACAATTATGTGTAATATTTATTAAATGTTTTATTAAATCTCGTAAATAAAATTCATAACTTACTAACCAAATTCTACTTGTAGATCTAGATTTAAGTTTTTGCCATAGCTAAAGCAACCTCAATCCTCAGCTTGCGCGAGCAAAGCTATGGTGCAATGCAATACACAAGACAAAGCTGCAAGGGATGGCCGAGTGGTCTAAGGCTGTATGCATTTTCACTAGATTTTTTTTCCCAGCCAATTTTTATCTTTGGCCCAGTAACCAAAGTACAAACACGATTTGAATTCTGTACCATGAAACGTAACCACAGCATTGCATATCACTTAGCTTGGATTTGTGCAGATCTATTTTGAAGCACTTAAAACCTTTATATTAAAGCCTGTCTGCACTAGTTTGGCCAGGGGGATTAGATCACCCTGCAAGGTCACTAGAAGGTGGTTATCTCATCAAATCAGCTCTCAAATAACATAAGAAAAATAGGATGATAGGGGACCAACAGGCACCGATAAGGCATTGTTTGCTATATAGAGGGCGTAAGTAGCTATAAGTAGTGCAGTGTGGCTTTAAGTGATGTAAATAGGTGATATGACCAGCTGTCAACCATTATCTGTTGATACCTGAACTGGCTAATGTTCGCAATTGCACAATATATACAACAACAAACAAACAAAAAGAGACGTACCTTTCCGGAGCAATGGTTGTCTGTGTGTCCTGCGATTCCTCTGTATCCATAGGCTGCTGTGATTGGGAAGATGCTTCGCTTGGGGTGGTACGTTTACGGGGTGTTGGCATCACTACAAGTGAGAACAGATAACAATGAATGTGATTAAATATTGCACTACTTTCCATCTCTCTATACCCTAACTCAAATCAATCTATTTCTTATTTACCCCTGATATCTCTTAGTTTCTACCACTACAATATATTGCATCACACAAGTCTTTCTGTCTATCACTTTCGACATCAAATTCTCACCTTTTCTTTCTCATCTGCTTGATCTCCATCTCTCCACATCCCCTTCTCTCTTTTTCTATCACTGTTTCTCTCTCATTACCTACAGATAAAAGTTGCATGGGCCTTTGTGTCTTTCTATCCCAAAACGTATATCTAGCTATTGCTCATTCAATCGTTCTCTCCCTCACTCTTCTATCCTTACCTTTCGTTCTCTTTGATTCTTCATAATTATCAAATTCATAAGGGGTCTATGTCTCCCTCTTCTGTTACTGCTCTCTCTTTTCTTTGTATATTTTGTTATATTTCTATAGTTCTATCTTTGTCTCCAGCTGTCTTTCTCTCTTTCTCTTTCTATTTTCACCTTTGTCATCCCCTCATTCTTCAAAGTCATAAGGGTCTTCATCACCCTCCCCTCCAGCCTCTCTCTCTCTCTCTCTCTCTTTTCATCTTTTTCCTTTGTCTTTTTATCTCTCTCTCTCTCTTTTTACCTCTCTCTTTCATCTCTTTCTTTTTCTTTTATATCTCTCTCTCTCTCTCTCTTTTATATATATATATATATATCTCTTTTATATCTCTCTTTCTTTTATATATCTCTCTCTTTCTCTCTTCCGCTCTCCCTATCATCTACTTTCCTTACCTTCATCATCTCCCGATTCTTCATAGCTATCAAAGTCATAAGGGTCTTCATCACCCTCTGCTCCAGCTGGTCTATCTTTTCTCAGTGTTCCTCGTTTCTTGCGCCTAGTTGAATAAAGAAAAAAAAAACATATATTATATCACACTTTATAATAACATGTTCACAAAGATTATATAAAAAGATATATTAAGTTCTGAAACAAAGAAAAACAATTTTAAACAATTCTTCTTACTATCAAATACTCATTTTGTAGCATCTTGTCAAAAAGTTCAACACGAAGTAAATTCTTTCGTTCACGCTGGCATATGCAGATTTGACAAAGCCTGCTGGAAAATAGTCAGAAAGCATAACTGTTTATTTCTAGAATACTCTTTTGTACCTTCATTCTTCATATTTCAGATAAAGGCCTTTTTGTTCTTGGAAATTTCTGTCTACAAAATATGTCTAAATGCAATTGTACCAACAACAAAAAATACTGTACTGGGCAATGATGAGAATATCTCCATGAGGAATAAGTCACAATGACTCATGCTTATTACAATGTTTCACAAGTTATTCTCAAGGTAGACTTTACCCCCTCCATTCAAATTGCCTGCACATTTGGAGAATGAAAAGTAATCGTGAAAGACACCTTGTGAATTGAAATGAAACTAACCTCAGTTTCTTTTGCTTCTCCTCAGCTTCATCTTCCTCAGACTCACTGTCATGGCGACGCTTCTTCTTCTTTTCCAGAACCTGAAGAAAGCAATAAAATAGAATTGGCGAGATCTTAAGGCAATGATATTCAGTTCAAAGTGCAACAGACATTTTGTCATCGAATTCAAATTTCCCCCACATTTGACAGTTGGTAGAATAGGTTCTCTTTTGGTACTCTCAAGACAAGCCTTGGCCAGCTTACAAAATGGTAGTGTCAAACAAGAGCAACTACAATACATGACCTTTAATAATTACAATATAACCACAGTTCTCTTACCGGGATTACGGGGATTGTACAAAATGTCTCCTGGCAAAATTGCTCCACAGTGTATTCCCATACTTGCCAAAAAAATTCAACATTGGTCGTGGCACTATATCTGAACCCTAACCCTAAACCTAACCTATGATCTACAAGAAACCTATGCCCAAAAAATGTATCTCTGATGAAATACAGCTCAAGGAAATTGTCACCTGACAAGTGCAAGTGTTTGGGGGAGTTGGGATAGGGAGGAGGAGGAGGAGGAGGGAGGAGGAGGAGGGAGGAGGAGAAGAAGGAGGAGGGAGGGTGGAGGAGAAGGAGAAGGAGGAGGGAGGGTGGAGGAGGGTTGAGGAGGGTGGAGAAGGAGGAGGAGGGGGGAGGAGGAGGAGGGAGAGGAGGAGAAGAAGGAGGAGGAGGGGGAGGGGGAGGAGGAGGGGGAGGGGGAGGAGGAGGGGGCGGGAGGGGGAGGGGGAGGAGGAGGGGGAAGGGGAGGAGGAGGAGGAGAAGGAGGAGAAGGAGGAGGAGAAGAAGGAGGTGGAGGAGAAGGAGGGGAAGGGGGAGGAGGAGGAGGGAGAGGAGGTGGAGGAGGGAGAGGAGGTGGAGGAGAAGGAGGAGGAGGAGGGGGGCGGGAGGGGCGGGAGGGGGAGGGGGAGGAGGAGGAGGAGGGGGAGGAGGAAGAGGAGGAGAAGGAGGAGGAGGAGGGGGGCGGGAGGGGCGGGAGGGGGAGGGGGAGGAGGAGGAGGAGGGGGAGGAGGAAGAGGAGGAGATGCAGAAGGAGATGCAGGAGGAGGAGGAGGAGGAGAAGGAGGAGGAGAAGGAGGTGGAGGAGGAGGAGGAGGAGGAGAAGGAGAGGGAGGAGGTGGAGGAGGGTGGAAAATGGGGGGATGGAGGGAGCAAATAATATGTTAACGTTTCTTTTTTTTTTCACAGGACCTATAACACCAATCCAGAACACGGAAGTACCCTTTACCTTCTTGAAGATAGCAAACTGGACGAGCTGAATGGCTGCCTCTGCATCCTGCATGTCAACCGTCTTGCTCATGCGAGCTTTGGCGTGGGCCGTAGAGAGACGAATCATTGTCTCTAGCGAACGGGGCGTTACAGGGGCAGTCTAGACAAAAAAAGAAAAGTATTGGTATTTAGCGGTGAGTTTCATATTTTGTTTTCAATTTGGATGTACGTCAACAGCCATGCTCATGCGAGCCTTGGCATGGGTTGTAGAGACACCCTCACGTCTCCAGTAAAAAAAGCCGTTACTGGGGCAGTCTGGACCAAAAGGAGCGCAAAGTATTTTGTGACTGTTATATTTTGGTTACAGTTCTGCTGTAGAGGTCATGATACAGAGGATTGGAGATTAATATTTACAGGTGTCTTTATTAGAGCAAAACTGTGTCAAGATTCAATGTCATGATCCATCTTAAGACTTTCATAGTATTAACACAGTGACGAGTTTCACATCTTGTTTCTACTTTTTAGTTCAGTGTTTCCAATGATCAGACTGTCTCTCTGGGGCAGTCTGGCAGCAAAGATATTTTTTTGTTCATACATAACAAATAGACAGTTGAAATTCACTCATTTCGATTTTCATGACTTTTGAAAATTACCGCAACAAAATTCGCACATGATGTGTGTGTGCTTTTGGCAATTGTCCTAGGGATAATTATACCATTGTCCAGAAGGTAATCACCCTAGGGGCAACTGGCTGTTGGTAATTATCCTGGGGTGATTGTCTACGGGGGTCATTGTCATAAGGGGAATACTGTCTTGGGGTGATTGATTGCCCAGGGGGCATTGTCCTAAACCACCTTGGGTGGTCTTTCTATATAGGTTTTACTGTAGTACATACCTTAGCAATGTTATTTGCTGTGGCATCTTGGCTACGAAGCTTGGAGTACTCCTCTGCGATGCAGTCTGCAGCCTCTCTCGTCAATTGCGGCTGCATGCCCTTAGCAATGTGAATGTACTTCCTCATGAAGTCCATACTCACATACTTTTGCCTGAAGGAATGGAACACAAAATATTTGAGGGGGCCAAATTTAATAAACTTGGTTTTCAAACTCAGCAACTATTAATATTAATTACTCAAATTTTGTAAAACTTCCAGACTTAAGTTGCTCTTGACGTTCATTAAAGCTTGATATTTTTCCAAATATGCAACTCTTACAGAAAATTTTAGATGGATGAATGAGTTGACGAGGATACAAGTAAACTACACAAAAGTGAATGTAGTAAAGGAGAGAGAGGGAGGAAGGGAGGGAGAGAGAGGGAGGAAGGGAGGGAGAGAGAGAGAAAAAGAGACAGACAGACAGCAAGAGAAATCAGGAGAGAGATACACAGAGAGAGAGAGACAAAGTAACAGGGGGAGAGAAAGGGAAAGGCAGAGAGCACAAGTGACAAAGAGAGGAAGAGATAAAGGGAAGTGGGAGGGTGTGGGAAATGAAGACAAAAAAGTAGAGGCAGAGAAAGAAAAAAACACAGTGATAAGAGACAGAGATGAAGAGAAGCGAAGATATAAACAGACAACCAATCAGGATCTACTCACCTCTTTTTTGAACCGTGGAGTAGTTTATCATGCTTGTCGTAGACTTTGGTCTCCTGTTTCTCTTCTTCAATAGCATCAGGGTCGTTGGTAGCTAAGAAATCCACTGTGCTACCGAATGGCATGGCTGCAATACAAAATGAGGGGGTGGGGATGGGGAATTTTTTAAATTTAAATTACTTGCAGGAAAGAGCACGTTAAAGCTGGATTTTAAATCTGAAGAAATTAAAATAGTGTCAAAGCATAACCCACGTATGATTGTGAGCTTCCTATTATAGATCAAACTTGTTTTTACTGTGAAGTAATGTTTTTGACCAATGCTGCCTATATAACTTTCTTTTGGTTTTTATGGAGTACCTGTTCCTAAATTATAAGTTTGGAAGTAAAATGCAGATCTAGAACTGCTATTACTATGAGATATGAGCAAAATAACATACACACACTCTCTCTCTATCTCAATCTAGTACAGTCAAACCTGCTTTAGTGACCACCTGCATAGAAAGGCGACCTGTCTACAAAGACCACATTTTTTGTTTCACTTGAAAATGGTTTCTCATTGAAACATGTACTAAAGGAACCTGTACATAAAGACCACCTGCCTGTAAAAGACCACTTTTCCTGTCTCCCTTGGATGGTCTTTAGAGACAGGTTTCACTGTATCTGTCTACAGAGGCAACCATTTGGCCGTGGCCACTTTCCTTGACTTGTCCTGGGACCCGTTTCACAAAGTCTTTTCTCAATGATAAATGACTAAAATCAGTGACAAATCTGCTGATAACCAATCAGAAGCAAGGATTTCAGTAGCTTATAACACAAACTGATGACAAGTTTTGTGAAACGCCCCCCTGGTAGGTTTACTTACCATCTCCATCCTGCTCTCCAGCCTGCCTGTAACGATGCACGCGGAGGACAAAGTCCGAAATCTTACGATCATGCTCTGGATCCATCTGATACAAGAGAGAACGATTCCATAAATAAGACCTCTATGCCTCCATCCTACTCAAGCCGGTTGATTTTAATTGATTGTTTGTAGATTTTTTTTTAATGATTATTATTATTATTATTGTGTTTTGTTTTGCTTGTTGGTTTGTTGTTGTTGTTGTGTGTGTTTTTGTTTTTGTTTTTTGTTTGTTTTTTTTTGGGGGGGGGGGCTTTTTAAGTATAACTATCCTTTAATCCATTTATTTATACTTTTTTTTTGGGGGGGGGAGCTTTTTAAGTATATTTATCTTGCAGTCCATTTACCTAATCTCTCTGTTCAACAATACATGTATTTCTCTTTTCTTGTTATCTTTCTTGTATCTATTGTTTTTCTCTTTTCTTGTATCTAATGTTTGTCTATCTTTAACCTTTCTCTCCGTTTACTATTCATCTACTCCGAACTGCCACTAGAAACTGACCTGGTCAAGAACAATGAAGATGACATCAAAACGAGATAGCAGAGAGTCTTGTAGACCGATGTTCTCCATAGGCGTCTTGTACTGGTCATACTGGATGAGAGGAAATACAGGAAATTATTCAAGGAATCTCAAATGGTGCTTGCGAATGATAAACTGAAACGAGTTTAGCACACTAAAAATCTACTGATGATTTTCACGTTTGATTATTTGATAAAGATGAAATTTCCACCAAATTACAATTGTAGTGAGTGGTTTTGAAGCTGAGTGACAAATGTTTTGATGTCTCTTGCTAACTTATAAGAGACAATTCCCAAATTTTTAAATTCTCTTTCAGGTACCAATTTCACAATTCATTGATTTCATCACCTTGCTCTTCGGAATGTAAGCGTTTGTATGTTATGCTCTTGTAATTATACACAATGTAGACATATATGCTTGGCTCTCAAGGGGTTGACCTGACATTTGCCTGGGTCTCATTTCATCAGAGATATTGGTTACAGTTGCAATAGGGTTTTAGGTTTAGGATTTAGACACAGTGTTTAGTACAGTGCTGAAGTAATGATTTGGTTGGGGTATAAACTTGACGGTACAAGCAACTGTCATTGAAGCATGTAAAATAGAACCCCAAAGAACTAATGGTATTTAAAGGCATCGTTTAACAATGTTAAATCTGAGATGCATGGACCTACGTGTTATCAGTGTCTGTGATATGGTGTAATATTGAAGCCCTAAAACAATTGCGCTTCAAAATGATCATGAAGTGCCTCAAAAAAAGTTAAAATCTTAAGTGATCGGTTAAACCATAATCATTTTCCCCAATAGACTGTAGTGTTATAAAAACCGTTAGGAAAACGCAAAATTTGATTTCGATTTCCAATCATAAATATCTTGATAATCAGACAGGCGATTGGCTTGTAAAAGTCATGGGGTTCCTGACTGACCTAAAGTTTCATACCTATCATTGCAGCATGAGCTAAATCCAGGTTTTTGTTTCAGAATCTGAGACAAAGTTGCCCAATCCCTTTAAGAATATAAGGATAGCTTTAGATATAGTGTTTGGTGCAGGGTTGAAGTTAAAAGTTGGGTTAGTGTATTGAAGAGAACGGTTGATACTGAAAGAACCGTAAGGCAATCTTATCCAATCAAACTTACCCTTCCATAAACAGGGTTAGCTGCTGCTAGCACACTACACCTTGCATTGAGCTTGGCATGGATACCGGCCTTAGCGATGGTGACACGCCCCTGTTCCATCACCTCATGTATAGCTGTACGATCTTGATCACTCATCTGCAAATGGAATTATTGGTTAAACAGTTCAGTCAACTACGTAGGAGCCAATCCTTTCAGGCACTGAAATCGCATTATCACAATTAGTATTCCTAGCTTTGATTGTACGAGACGTTTAAAATCATGCTCTTCCAGAGGATAACCCACTTCAAAACATTTTCTAAAATAAACAAGTTAACGCAAAGCGTAGCATCCCCTTGCCGGGTAAAATTACCTACATTTAGCAATTTTTGCATATTTAATGAGCTATGACCTATGACTTTTGAACTACATACCCCCTGAAATATTTTAGGCTGTAATTTGATACCGTGCACCTTCATATCAAATTTCATTAAAATTTGTCAAACATTACTAAAGTTATCAAACGGAAACCAGATTTGTTACGGAAGGAAAAACGGAAGGACAGATGGCAGCGTTACTACATCCTCTCCAAGTTCATTGGCAAGGGGTTAATAACATTACCTAAAAGACATAAACAAATTATTTTTAAATTCTTGTCCTAGTAAATGAGAGCATTACCTTGTCAAACTCATCAATGCAGACAACACCACGGTCGGCCAGAACCATAGCTCCTGCCTCCAGGCGACGCTCTCCTGTTTCTTGATCGGTGGTGACGGCAGCCGTCAAACCAACGCCGGATGATCCTCGGCCAGTCGTTGCTATGGCTCTAGGTGCCGTGTGCAAAACATACCTAGGACAGGAGGACAACATCAATGACTTGTTACAGAATATCTACTGTTAATAGCTGAAATATTCATGCACCTTGTTAATTTGATGTTTATTGTGTTTTTTGAAACTCAAGAATGAAAGGTGGACTGGTTGAATCAGGGCCTTTGTTTAACACTTTTATATTTAAGCTTTTATGTGTCACATTCTCAAGAAACTGAAATCAGGACAAATCAAGGATTAAAAAAATTATTAAACTTTGTAAGAGTATGAATAATTTAGTTGTTAACTGAATGTTAATCTAAGAGCAGAAACACCTAGTATGCATTTGAAGGCTACATCTAGAAATATAATGACCCGCAGAGAAGGAAAATAATATTACTAAGCAAATACAAGGTGAAGAAGGGGCACATTGGTAACACATTCATTCTCATTTCACAATATTTCACAAAGCAGATGAATTTTCATCTGCTGCATTTTTTTAATTCTCAAAGAAATTGAGAATTTTGTGTGTGAAATAAATCACAAACCAAATAAAATTTAGTGTGCTGTATTTTCCAATTTTCTCAAGGAAATTGAAGACTTTAGGTGTGAAAAGGCAGAGAATCTTGAGCAGAGAATATTGTATTTCATCTGAGCTAATTGACAAACAAAACGAGGTGAAGAAGTAAAAAGACAATTTTTCACAATGGTACCAGGATAATGTCGTCACACTCACCTTAACATCTGTGACTTGGCTGTTGACGGATCTCCAATCAATAATACATTGATGTCACTGAAAAAAATGTAAATACAGAATTAAACTCTGCCCATACTATAAGGTTACGTAGCAAATTTATGGGCAATGACACAGTCTAATCGTCTTCCTTTTTTTCCTCTCGTTTCTATATTGATATAATCTTTTAACAAAACAATGATGATTACCAGGTATTTCAAAAGTTTTTCTTAAAGGATTTTTTTGTTCTACAAGTCCTAAAAACGGAGATCTATGCAGATCCCAGAAAATTATTTTAACCAAGTTCTTAAAGCACGATCCTTATATTCTAAACAGTACAAGGAGACATATTATATTTTGGGGTGTGGTGTTCTGTGACTGAGGAATTCATGAAAATAACTAGAATGCATAAGTAACAATTAGCAGGCTTTTGCAAATTTCTTTGATGGTTTGTATTCCCCCAAATTTCATTTGGCGAGACAGTTGCATATTATGTGGCCAAATTTTCAAGTTTTCAGTTCCTCAGTTATTGACTTTGAGGAACAGATTATTGCAGACTTACCCACGAAGCCTTGTGCCGTTCTCCAACACCTTCTCCATCCCTCCCAACAACATGCAGAGCACAGCCTTCTTGATGTACTCATGACCGTGGATAGAGGGCGCTAAACTCTTGGCCAGAAGCTCAAAGACATCTTCCTTCTTATCCTGAGAGAATTTACGTATCTTTGCGATGTCCTCGGCGGTGAAATTAGGGACAGTTTCCTTGCTGAGTAGTTGGACGTGGTTTGCAATGATGATGGTTCTGTATAGGTATGAAAAAAGTGGGAAAATTAAATCATCTTTTCATAGTTGGCCTCTGCATTTATCTTGATTCTTTGACTTTGCTCCATACTTTCAAGTTTTCAATTATATATATGCATTTTTATGTGTGTGTATTTCTGTTGCCACTCTTTATGTAAATCAATTATATTATATACTATTATTGTTATTGAATGTTTTGTATTTGATTTTTCAATAAATGCAGAAACATCTGCTAAAAAATAATATATAAATCAATAATTTTTCAGTATTTTAATAGTAATGGCCAGATTTGATGGTGTGAGGCTACTAGTATTTATACTATGGCCTTTCAATTTCAGTTATGTATCATATTGAAGCAGTATTATGATTAGAGTTTCTTTTTTTCCTCTGGCATATGTTCTTCCCCATTTTAACACCAACAGGTTTTTTTTATTTTTTTATCCATCATTCATTAATTGAATAATACTTACATAAAAAACACATAATAATATTGATTACAAAGAAAAACACATGAATTATACGTATATCAAAAAATGAATTATACTTTTTTTAACATAATCAACATTTTTTCCCAGAGGTAATATTTTTCAACATTTGCCCTCCATAATATTTCCTTTAGGGTTTATATCACTGATAAACCATTTTCTATAGTTATGGCTGTACGATCTAAAATAAAATTAAACTTAACAGGTTGTACCACTAGCAAATGGAATGTAATGTTGTTTTAATGGGTAATGCCATCGCATTTGGCACATGGCATGTATCTCATTCTCTCAATATAGAGACATGAAAGCAATAATCGCTACAGAAGATTTCAAAGAGGTTTGCCTACCTGTGACTGTATATAAACATGAAACATTGCAGGATTTATTAGAGGGAAATAATGAGAGGAGGGGAGAGGAGGGGAGAGGGGGTGGGGGAGCCATTTCTCTTTACTCAACCTTTGACCGAGGAACATGGAATTACCTGAAAGTGCCGTTGGTGTAACTGCCTTGCTTGTTGGGAAGACAACGGAACGTACCAATTACTTGGACTCTATCACCAGGCTAAAAAGGGAAACAAAGGAAGATAACAGAGATCTGAAAATTGATTCTCTCAGATAACTATCACAACATCTACGTTTGTGAATCTGGAGTTCTGAACAAACTATTGAATGATTGATGATAAACACTTGATTTTAATGTCGGTTCCGAAAATAATTTGTACTTATTCATTTGAAAGATGACCAGGTGATTGCTGTTTGAGGAAAAGTATTCTCACAATATAGCAATAACATGGAGAAAGCCGACATTAAAGCGAGCTGCTTGATTCGATCGAATCATCCAGAATAACAAGACAATAAATTGTTCCAACAGCAACAAGACTGAATTCCTTCACATATCTTCACATTTTCGTTCTACAGATCATATATCATTCATTAACTTAGATGGCACACAGGTTAATTCTGTCAGGAAGTGTCGTAATTTGGGTGCGATATTTGATGATAATTTCACTATGGACAATTTTGTTTCACAGAAATGCAAATCGGCATCTTTTGCCCTTCACAAAATTGGGAAAATTCGCAATCTGATAGATAAACACACTACTGAACGCTTGATTCACGCTTTTGTGGCGTGTCATCTTGATTTTTGTAATAGCCTCCTTTCTGGGATTTCGGCTCGTCAAATGCAGAAGATGCAGGTTGTGCAGAACTCAGCAGCTCGTCTTATTTATCGTATTAGGAAACATGAATCTGTGTCTCTTATTTTAAGAGACTTACACTGGCTACCCATTCACTCTCGCATTTTATTCAAAATATTGTTGTTAGCTTATGAATGTTTTTATGATTTTGCGCCTCCTTATTTGATTGAGCTATTAACACAGTACACACCTTCTAGAAATCTTCGTTCTAATCAGAAAAAATTGTTTGTTATTCCACCAGTGATGACCAGGTCATATGGTGAACGCAGCTTCGCTCACACTGCCTCAACTTCATGGAACAATCTCCCGGAACATCTAAAAAACATTGACTCCATTGTTAAGTTTAAGATTGCTTTAAAGACGCACTTATTTAACATTTAATTCATCCATTTTGTCCGTTACCCAGTATGTCTTGTCTTTGTATTCTGTTATGTTTTTTCTCTAGAGCGCTTAGGGACATGTTTTAATACTATGTGTTATGCGCTATACAAGAACGGTTAATTATTATTATTATTATTCCAAAAAAAATGTCATAAAATAAAAAATATATGGGGCACCTTAAAGTGCTATGAGGACCATTTTAGTTGCCAGATAGTTTCCCTAAGCCTCTGTGCATTTATTTGCTGCTGTAATTGTATGCTACAAAAGAGAAAATCTCAACACTGTCCATCAACCGAACAAAAATCTGTATCATTCTTACCTTGCAAGCATCAACAAGATCATTGTCCACGATGATGTCGACCGACCTTGGTAGCTGACCGGCAGGGGCCTTCTCAGGCATCTCCTGGATGGTGATAGTCTGGTGGTCTTTATAGAGGGATAGGCCAAACTCTGTCTCAAGCGGGTTGCCTTGGTCATCCTTGTAGGTCAAGCAATCAGGTTAAAGGTCAAAGGTTATTTTGGTTTGACAAAAAATATAATTCTCCTTTTATGAAATATATCTCAGACATAAGTGAGGCACATTTCCAATCATTTTTGGGCCAAGTCTCATGAAATTTATCCAGATCAATGCAAATCTTTCCATCTATCAGTAATTGCTCAATATGGTTAATGCAAGCCATATGAGGAAAGTTCAATTGTTATAAAATTTGAATCAATTGCAAATCTAAGAAAAAGCCCTCCTTCACCGATTGGCAGATTTCTCTTCCCCTATCAATCTGTCGCCAGTTTCTCAAAACCCCCAGAGGTTCAAGATCAAGGACATGCCGTTAGAATATGTATCGATCAGATAACAAATGGGATGTCCATGAGCTTAGTCTGTAGAGGCCCGTTTCTTGAATCTATCATAAGTCCGAAACTTCTAGGACATCCCATTGAAGCTCATGTTAATTGAATAATACATGTTCAATACGATACGTCAACAAACTTGACAGATGATGTTACAAGATGAATGAGATCAGAGCATCAGATCAGAAAATTATTTATAAAATATTTAAAAATATATTAAATATACTTAGATGTTTGAATAACAAAATGTGAGTTGAATGCAGCCCTGCCCATCAACAGGAATCAATTTATGTTTGGATGTCACCCGACCTTTAAACTTACAACGGTTCAAGAAACTCACTCCGTCTTACTCTGATCGTCTTCAACCTACCTTTGTGGGATAGACGGAGCTTGAAGGGAAGGCATCGAGAGAGGTTAGATCAGTGTATTTGCGTTCCATGGTCTTGCGAGTTGCTGGACAGAAGTGCACGCTACGTACCACCTTCGGTCTTACAAGTGAACCTGTCATAAAGGAAAATACAGACCTTACAGACTTACAGACAATTTGGTACACGGTATTCAATTTTCATAAAGTGTGATATAAAGGAAGTTTAAATGTTCCCCTACCTATTATGCGAAAGAAATTTAGGTACAAACTTCTTTGGGAGTGTTGTAGCCGAGTGGGTTAAGGCACTTGACTGGAGATGCGAAGGTGGAGGGTTCAAATCCCGACACGACACTTATATCCTTTGGCATAATATCAACCTGCACTTGCTACTCTCCACCCAGGTGTTAAATGGGTACCCGGTAGGATGCGACTGTCATTATTGGTCGAACAGTTTTTGAGCGTCAAGTAACGCTTGGCTGAAATGCTCCCAAGGAAGTAGAGATTGTGCAAACAGTGTGTGCGGGCAAGTATTGAATCCAACGACAGGGGTAATAGTATATCTGTTAAGCGCTTGGAGACATCGTACGTGGAATATTATTGTAAAGCGGAATATTATTATTATTTCCAAGGAGAGATCTAGACAAAGAGGGTAAGGTTATTTGTGGAAAATGCTATGCCCACATTCTCCTCCTAATCAATGGGTGCACTACATGTGTACTTGCATTTCACCAATCAAGATAGACAGGTACCTCCTTTCCATCCCCCATGTCTGTTTAGACGCTCTACACTACTGCTACTACTTACACTTGGTAACAATTCCCTCCACACAAACCAGGTTTCCAAGGTAGCTTGCGGCTAGGGAACGGGGAGTAACATGCTTGGATCCAAAGCTTCCTTCAAAGCCAACAAAGAAGTCATCATGCTGCTTGCCGTACGCGGTATCGGCCGACGTGACAAACTCCTTCAAGGCTCGCTGGAGACAAGCTACTTCTTCGTGAGCTTCGTTCAACAATCTAGAGTAACAAAATGGAAGGGAAAAGTGATGACTGGTTATCATAAACATCAATATTATATCGGAAGCAGAAACCAAACATTCCTCATGTCTTTCTCAAAAAGAATCACATAATCAATTGCCATATTTGTAGTCATCTAAATTTCAATGCACAGATGTATGTAAAATATTTGTTTGAGGACAGTATAATGTTATAAGGACTAGAGACATTAATATAAGATTTCAATTATCAGATCTTGAACCTTGACGAGATAATCCTGAAGCAGATCATTTTCCAAGCTAAATTGGAATGGGATGTGTTGTGAAAGCAGGTGATGGTGCAGACAACAACAGAACAAAGTAAAATTTCCATTTACAATAAGATAGTGATGTGCGAGTAAAAACTAGATAACTCTTATGTATCAAAATAATTTGTTTTCCTCTTTTATTCAAATAAATAAATTCATGGAATCTATATAAACCCAGAGACCTAAGTTTTTTATTTCCTTAATCTTATTTCTTCTTCTTCAGAAAAGGGGCACCATTGTGGTGACAAAGTTGAACAGTCTCTACTTCAGTTTAATTGGTATAATAAACAATTACAAGATAAGAAAATCAGACTTGGGGAATGAAGTTCCTGTTGAATAAAATGAAGTATGACTCAATGACCTTATAAGGCTCTTCTTAATTAGCAGACATGTAATACCAACCGTGAAGCTCTCTTGGGGTATTTTCGTCGAAGGTCATTGATGTTAACCGTGAGACGACATTGATTCTTTGATATCATGCTCTGAACCTTCTCATGATAGATACCTTGGTCAGCCTATAATAGTAAGAGGAAATATAGAAGGATATAAACATCAAGCGAGATAAGTACAAATCACTCCAGCAAAACATAGTACTCAATTATCGCTAATGTGTATTGACCTCTAGCGCTGTATACGTGCTGAAAGGTATCGATTGCACACAATACACACAATTGGGCGCTAGTTCAGAAGTCTATCCAAACTTTGACCCCTAACTCCGGCGTGGAGATACCCTACTGTCTAAAACATACCCAAAATGTTACCTGTTTCGTGTCAAATTTCTTATCTTTTTCAGAGTATTTTTCCTAAAAGCGAAGACTTATAATATGTACTTTCTCACTGCAGCACAATACAATTGCATACCCTATACCGACGGTGGGGTGCGGGCGCGCGCGTGTGTTCAGTTAGCGAATGTAAACTAGAACTAGGTCTATTTACCTTTACCTTTACCCGAGATTCTGGAAGAATGCTGTGTTCTCAGCAGTCGGGCTTCCAGTTCAATTTCATTTTCTTCCTTCTCGTAGTTGGGTGTCTTCTTGGTAAGTGTCTGGCTCAGTTCTGCGTCGGGTATTCTACTCATATGGGGAGCAGAAACGCTTGTCCTTCCATACTCGATCCAGTCTGGCTTTAAAGGCATTCACCGTGGTAGCAGTGACTACCTCTTCAGGAAGTGTGTTCCAGTCATTGATGACACGTTGGCTGAATGCATCCTGTCTAATCTTCGTTGAGCATCTTTGTTTTACGATCTTTAGACTGTGGCCTCTTGTGTTGCTAGTCGAGTGTTCAAAGAAGGTATCAACTGGGATGCGTTCAAGTCCATGGATGATTTTGAAAACCTGAATCATGTCGCCTCGCCGTCTGCGATATTCGAGGGAGGGAAGGTTGAGCGCCCGAAGTCTCTCTATGTAAGGACGGTTGCGGATGTCATAAATCATTTTGGTAGCTCTCTTCTGCACCCTCTCTATGGTTTTGGAGTCTGTCTTGAAGCGAGGGTACCAAATGGAATCTCCGTAATCTATGAGAGGTCTGACAAGGCCTTTGTACAGCTTTGGAATTGTGGACCTGTCTCTGCACTCAAAGCTGCGACGGATGCAGGAGAGTACTCCGTTTGCTTTCTTGACAGCATATGCCACATGGTTATGGAACTTGAGCTCGTCATCAATGAGGATGCCGAGATCTTTCTCCTCTGATGTAGCTTCAAGGACATCATCTCCAAGGGCATAGATGTGTTTGACGTTTCCTGGGCCTATGTGTAGTACTTTGCACTTTTGTGTGTTGAAGTGCATTTGCCATGTATTGCTCCATTCCATTAGTGCATCAAGGTCAGATTGGATTGAGCACAGATCATCTTTGGTGGATGCTTTGCCATACAGTTTAGTGTCGTCAGCATAGATCTTGACAGACCCTTCAGGGGCGGATCTAGCTTTTTGCTAAGGGGGGGGTTGACCAAAATAATGACGATGCGGAGCATCGTCCACGAGCCGCAAAGCGGCGAGCCGATTTTTTTTTGGGGTGTTTATTTGAACCCCGTAAGTGATGTTTTCCTGGCATCTATTAACACAATGGAGACCATAAAAAGCAGTGCATGATAACGTCTTTTTAAATCAAGTAACAGTTAAATACACAGTTATATCCAGAGTTATCATGTGTTTGGTTAAGTTACCAGATGAGTTGAAAATCTTCTCACAATATTTGCACTTGAAAGGGTTTCTCTCCAGCATGCGTTCTTTTTTCTTTCTTTTTTTTTCACTTCGGCGGTGGCCCGTGTCCTCAAAAAAGCTGATGGGGGGGGGGGGGGGGGGGGGCAAGGGACTCTGTGACATTTGTTCGCCCAACCCCCCCCCCCCCCTCCCCCCAAAAAGAAATAATAATAATAATAATAATAATAATAATAATAATAATAAATGACATAAATACATAGAAATAGAATAAAATAAAATTACAAGTTTAAAAAAAAAGATAAGATTTTAAAAAATGGTCCCCGGATTTTTTTTTGGGGGGGGGGTTACAACTCCCCCCAACCCCCCCTCTAGATCCGCTTCTGCCCTTGAAGTCCATCTGGTAGGTCATTGATGCACAAGACAAACATTGTTGGGCCGAGAACACTACCCTGCGGCACTCCGCTCCTTACTTTTGTCCAGTCAGATAATTTATCATTGACTCTAAATCTCTGGCATCTACCTTGGAGGAAGTCTGCTATCCATTCCTTAATTTGGCCACATATACCGTATGTCTCAAGTTTTGAATAGATTACAGTTGCTAACTAACACACATGCGCACCCGAACGGCTAAGCATGCAAGCAGAGGTAATTACCACAAATGCCCCAACGGCGGTCATGTGCACCGATAGGATTCAGTATGTTACTAGATCTACATGTATGTCAGATGTTAGCTCAGACTCAGTTCAGACAGTTCAGACAAAATATGTATTTAAAAATCTTCCAAGCAGACACAGAGACAAATTATTCTGTCAAGACTAGACAAGAGTCTAGATCTAGTTAAGAAGCGCCATTGCATTGGTTGGTAAATTGCAAAGGTACAATCTAATTGCAAAGGATTGTAGATCTAGATCTAGATCTAAATGTCACTGTAGGCCTAGACCTCTAGACTAGATCTAGATTTATAGATCTGACTGTTAGATCTAGACTTCAAAAGATAACACTGCAGAAAAATGTTAATGTAGGGATCTAAGTTAGATCTAGTCTAGATCTAATTCTAAACACTGTTTCACTGACATGCATTCTGTACGTAGGCCTATATCAACTCACATTCAGGTTGTCAACTAGACAGCAATAACCATCTGATTTGGGTCATTTCTTTAATAAAACTGACATTTGTTGTCATATCGGAGGTCTAGTGGAGCCAGACGTAGTCTCAGTGGAACAACGGACGATTAGAGAGACTGAAGTTTTCGGTCTAGTTGTCAACTAGAAACCTAGATTATGACACTTCACAAGTCGTTATGCATAGACAGAGTCTAGCAATTAACATGAAAAATATGACTAGATCTAGACTATAGTATTGACTGAAGACAAGTTAAGTTCCAAGACGATATTGTTAAACTCAGAAATAATGAGGGTTAAAACTGTAAATTGTAATTGTCGTGATTGTCTTTCAAATTGAAACTGAAAGTCTGAAACACTTCTGCAAAGGGCCAAGGCAAAACATTGACTTGAGAATTGAGTGAAATCAGTGAGAGAATAACTTACATCATCGTCCAGAAATTCGAGATATTCACGCTGGTAATCCCTCAACTGCTGGTCGATGTCGGTATCCATGCTTTAACTTTGAAATTTCTCCCCAAATGAGATAGAAATTCGAAAAAAAAGACCACAATCTGACAATGCTGTGTTGTAAACAAAGACAATCTCGCACAGTACGATTTAAATGCCCGGTGTTATGCACAGCTGTACGTACATATGCATGTGCGGTATGCCCAACTCACACAATTTTCGCGCCACGATCAACATGTGATTGATCAACCCGCGGGACCTTTAACTGATATTCGCTCCCTGATTGGTCAGTTGAATGGGTCCATTACACGGTTCCGACTAGTCTACTTTGCACAGACTCCTCTGAAATCCATATACCTCGTAGAAATGACTGGGTTTTGTCCACCCAGGACCAAAATCCAGTTGAAACCAATTGGAGCAAAACCAATTGAAACCAGTTGCCAACTGGTTTCAATAGGGAAATTGGAACAACTGGTTCCAATTGAAACCAGTTGAAACCAATTGCCAACTGGTTCCAATTGAAACCAGTTGAAACCAATTGCCAACTGGTTCCAGTTGCCTAATTGGTTTCAACTGGAACCAGTTGTTCCAATTTCCCTATTGAAACCAGTTGGCTTCAATTGGTTTCAATTGGTTTCAATTGGTTTCAACTGGTTTCAATTGGTTTCAACTGGTTTTAATTGGTTTCAACTGGATCCAATTGAAACTTACAGTAATTGGCATAAACTTAATTAGTTATAAGTTAATTAGCTCTTGCACTAATTATCGCTCATGTCAACACAGAAGCATTGTTATATGTGTCTACATTAAGTACAATGTAAAGGGCATCATAATATGCAGACCATATAATATACTTAACAAGGAAGGCATTGCCATTATATATGTTTGTATTTGATGTATTTTGTACATGGTTAGTGTTTTACTAATCAACTTTTAATCTGTGTAATTACAAAAATATGTTACTAATGAAAATGCTTATCATTGCTAATTAATCTTTATATTTATCTAAAACAAATGCATTACATGCAAATGGAAATTAATTAATAAGTACATTGTAAATCAAAATAAATTACATAAAACATTGATCTGCACACAAGCAGATAATATGCAAATTAACTGGTTTCAATTGGATCCAGTTGGGTAACTGGAAATATTTCCAATTGGAACCAATTGTGTAACTGGAAATGAATTCTAACTGGAACCAGTTGGGTAACTGGAAATTACTTCTAACTGGAAATGAATGCTAACTGGAACCAATTGGGTAACTAGAAATGAATTCTAACTGGAACCAGTTGGGTAACTGGAAATTACTTCTAACTGGAAATGAATGCTAACTGGAACCAGTTGGGTAACTGGAAATAAATTCTAACTGGAACCAGTTGGGTAACTGGAAATGACTTCTAACTGGAACCAGTTGGGTAACTGGAAATGAATGCTAACTGGAACCAGTTGGGTAACTGGAAATGAATTTTAACTGGAACCAGTTGGGTTACTGGAAATGAATTCTAACTGGAACCAGTTGGGTAACTGGAAATAAATTCTAACTGGAAATGAATGCTAACTGGAACCAGTTGGGTAACTGGAAATAAATTCTAACTGGAACCAGTTGGGTAACTGGAAATGACTTCTAACTGGAACCAGTTGGGTAACTTAATGAATGCTAACTGGAACCAGTTGGGTAACTGGAAATGAATTTTAACTGGAACCAGTTGGGTTACTGGAAATGAATTCTAACTGGAACCAGTTGGGTAACTGGAAATGACTTCTAACTGGAACCAGTTGGGTAACTTAATGAATGCTAACTGGAACCAGTTGGGTAACTGGAAATGAATTTTAACTGGAACCAGTTGGGTTACTGGAAATGAATTCTAACTGGAACCAGTTGGGTAACTGGAAATGACTTCTAACTGGAACCAATTGGGTAACTGGAAATGACTTCTAACTGGAACCAATTTGGTAACTGGAAATGAATTCTAACTGGAACCAATTGAGTAACATGAAAATCATCTTACTGTTTCCAGTTGAACTTCTAACTGGAACCAGTTGGGTAACTGGAAATGTTTCTAACTGGAACCAATTGAGTAACTGGAAAAATTACCTTACTGGTTCCAGTTGCACTTCTTATTGGTTTGAACTGGAAATGAGTACCCATAACAATATTTTCCAGTTCGGCAATTGGTTTCAACTGGAAATTTTATATTCCAATTGAAACCAATTGAAACCAATTGAAACCAGTTGAAACCAATTGAAACCAGTTGGAGATTTCAACTGGTTTCAATTGGATTTTGGTCCTGGGCAATATCAGATATTGTTCGTTTCTTGTGTTTTGCATGAACATTATGATATATATTACAGCCTTTGATATCCATTATGGTCAACAAAATGGACTCATAAAAATGAAAATGATATGTTCAGTAGTCAGTTAAGAAAATTGTATTTTCATCACATTCAAAAAATATATTCATGTTTTTGAGGTAGGCCTATCTTATTATAATTTTGTAGAATCCAAAGATCATAAAATGTTGACATGGAAAAATGAAAATATAGTACAAGTTTATGATGTGTAAGGTTCCTATCCCAGTATAGCTTGGAAAAGCTGCTTCAGGGATTACCTCACCAAATATCAAGTTCACTACCATTATCAAAATGTCTCATGTTATCTTTGTTGACTCTGTTTATAAATGTTTCATTGATTATGATTATTGAGGTTTTAACTAATACTGTTTTTATTATTATTGTTATCATCATTATTGTTATTATTATCATTGTTATCATTATTACCATCATCATCATTATTGTGTTATTATTATCATCACCACCATCATCATATTCTAATCTAAGTAAGTAGAATGAAAAACACAATTTTTTCAACCAAAACAATGCAAGGTCTCACTTATGAATTAGGTCTTACAAATCTAAAAAAAAACTAGATGGAACTTCGACTGCGCGCAGTCGAAAATGATGCCTCCGTCATAGAGCAATTTTACAAACCAAAACAGAAGAAATTTTTTCAAATTCAAGTTCAATTGTAATCCATTAAGAGGTTTTCAGAATATCGTGATTACAAGCAATTTCTCATATACATATATGACCCTTTGATCTTTGACCCGATGACCCTAAAATCTACTCAGTTCATTGGCTCTGCAAGATGTCCTGAGTTAAATAGTAATCCATCTGTCAGTTCTAATGAGAATGCATTCACAAGTTATTTTTGGATACATAATGAGCCCATGACCTTTGACCTCATGACCTCATGACCCATGAATCTACTCTGTACATGATCGAAATTTGGCAGGAATCCATCAATCTGTTCTAATGAGAATGCGATCACAAGCTATTTTTGCATACATAATGAGCCCTGTGACCTTTGACCTTTGACCTCGTGACCCCAAAATCTATTCAGTTCATCGGCTCTGCAAGATACATACATGACCAAAGTTTGGCAGGAATCCATCGATCGGTTCTTGAGATAAGGCGATCACGAGCTCTTTTTGCATACCTAATGAGCCCTGTGACCTGTGACCTTTGACCTTGTGACCCCAAAATCTAATCAGTTCATCGGCTCTGCAAGATACATACAAGACCAAAGTTTGGCAGGAATCCATCAATCGGTTCTTCAGATAACGCGATCACGAGCTGTTTTTGCATACATAATGAGCCCTGTGACCTTTGACCTTTGACCTCGTGACCCCAAAATCTAATCAGTTCATCGGCTCTGCAAGTAACATACATGACCAAAGTTTGGCAGGAATCCATCAATCGGTTCTTCAGATAACGCGATCACGAGAACGGGACGTACGGACGGACGGACGGACAACCCGAAAACATAATGCCTCCGGCTACTTCGTAACGGAGGCATAAAAAAAATCATCCTTCTACTATAGAACATGGCTCCATCCATCACAATGAAATGCAACAATGCTTTCATTTACAAAGTCTCTTTGACCTATTTACAGCTGGCCTCTGCTTCCCGTCACTTCAACAACACACCAAGAAATGAGAAGTCAAAACTATTCATATTCAGATGATTTCTTAACACACTCTTTTATTAGACTTTTCTTACACGTTGTACAAAGAGAAAGAAAAAAAAATGAGTATGTTCCTCGCTTTACATTGTGTACAGCTTACGTAAGATACACTCAAAACTAAGTGGCTATCTACGGGTAGGCGTGACTTAATAATACTGCTAATCACTTTCCCATTCACCAATTCAGTAATTAAGAAAAACAAAATGAACAATTGACATACTATGCACAAACATTTTTTTTTACAATCACCATCCAAGAGGCAGGCTGCACCAAAATAATGAAAATATCCATTGATAGAATAAAAAATCCACGAAAGAGATATTCACATAAAAATACTTAAAACAAGAACTAGGACAATTCTATTTTTCATGCAGGTAATTTATACAAATAGACATGCACACTCTATGTATAAACAAGCGTTGATGAAAGGAAACAAAAGCATTAAAAATCATTTAAAATCAAGATTTAGTTGTTGATTATCCCAAAAGGAAATTAGCTCAATTGCTACTAAAAACGTATTATTTTCCATGCACATTCTTCAACCATCATTTCTCAACTTCCTTTATGTATGCCGAGATTCCTTCTAAACATTGTAACATAATCCATAGCTTGTTGCTTTTATGGCAAGTCGACCCTCTTGGTAAAACTCACTTCTTTTCTTCTTTCTTTTGGATCTTTACTTGATTTGTCAATTTTAACAATTTTTTTGTTTTCTTCATTGCCCCAAAAAACAAAGATGTCAGAAGTCTTTTTTTTCCTCACAACTACCAACTTGAAATACTCATCTGGCAAGCCAGTTTTCTATTTAAAAACAAAAAAAAATTATTTATCTAAAATTCATTTTTGCACAGTTCTGTTTGCTTCCATCAATAACAACACATAACCTCAAAAAGCTGTATACTGGAAAAAAGTTTATGCACAAATCTTCTTGACATTTTGACACATTGTCTACTTTACAAACGGATGAATACACTAGACTTCGGACCGATACACAAATATCATTCAGAAAAGTACAACATATATAGAGGGCCAATTTCTATTTCACAATTTTGTGTACAGGAGGAGGGATGTAAAACATAAACATTTGTACAGAAATAAAACAAATAAGTGTTCTCTGAAATTTACACTTGCTACTGTACAAATGTACACTTTTTTGTCATAATAGGGAGCATTTTTTCTGTGCTTATTTTCATACTTTTGGACAAAATCTACATCAAAATTACAAATCCATATAAGGATAAATACATAATACATGATCACACCAAAAAATGCTACCATATTGACATTTCTGTTCACAATTCTAAAACTGAAATAAACCAATTCATTTTCCTTTTGAAATAAATTAAAATTGACAAAATACATCACATTTGGCCTTTACACTTGTCCTATTATACACATTATGGAGGCACGGGTTACACTGCTAAATTTAAACAAACTATCCAATATAAAATTGCGTGCAGTATAAAATGATCTGAAAAAATTGCAGTCAATTCCTTGTCATAGAGCATCATAGATCATCATTGCCATCACAATAATCGCTCAAAATTAGGAGAATTTACAAGAAACCACATCGAAAGGTGGCTGGTTTATGACAACAAGATCTGCACAAACCCTTTCTTAAATAATTGCCATCAATGAGGAAAATGAATCATAAAATTCAAAAGTATCATGGACTAATGCATTTTCTTTCTTTTTTACATAATTTACATGCCCCATAAGCACAATTCAGTTTCATATTTAACATGAGACGCACAGATCACATGAGATTTCCTATGTTTTGGCTTACAGTTGAAGACTTGCACTCAGGAAGAAAATAATTACAATGCAAAGCTGCTTTCTGTGGTATTTTTTTCTTACAAAAATTCATCAAATCATGAACAATTCCAGTAAACAATCCAACTCAGGAAAAAAATAAAAAATTGTTCCCAATCTTCATAAATTGTCTTTTTATTTTCATCAGTTGCTTAATGATCTATGTACAAGAGGATCAGTCTCTTTATCATTTCTGAACCAATGTTTCTGTACATTCTCTACATGTATTTAAAGTGAGTCAAATAAAGTCTGGTCTTTTTACAACATTATCATGTCAAGGGAACTGTGAACTGGGAGAGAGTATGCCTTTACATTTTAATTACAAAAGAATTATACAAATGAAAAACTATACTTTGTAATCTGGAAATAAAGTCTTATTTACACATTGACCTTTTGGGTATTGATCTACATGGTCATACATGATGTAATATGGTACTCATTTACCTCATAATTTTGGTCTCTAATAAGCAAATACACATACCCTTAAAAAGCGGGCCAAGAACAGTATTTTCCATTAGAATACTATGCACAAAGCAGCCAGTGTTTCTCAAATAAAGAATCACATTTTCAGGTTTCTTTACAATAAAAAAAATTGTGTAACAAAGCTTTTACAAGTCGTCTTTTTTACATTATGTCACAAGTCCAATACTTAGTGGAAATTATGTGCAAGTTATCTCTGTAATTTACAAAAGTCTATAAACTATTTACTATTTTTACACCAATGCTTTCATAATTCATGTTTGCATTTTCTCATTGTATCTGTAGTTTTCTTCAGGGAGGATTAAAACAACTGCAAATAAGTGTTTTAAAAGCACCATAAAATATCTAAAATTTGAACATGGCAAGGACAAAAGATCTAAGAATATTATCAACGTATAAAGTACAGATTTTTCTTCAAAAAATGGTAATAAAAAGAAAGTAAAACAAGTTCATCACATCATGTTCCGATACCTGTGTTAAAATAGCGTTTCAGTACCAGTTCCTTGACTCTTTTCCCGAGCATGAAGTAGCCTCCCTTTATGTTAGGTCTAGTTAAGAACCAGACGGCTGGCCAGACAAACCAACCTTCATTCAACAGCCCAAACACACGATATTACACAGAGGCATTTTTTCTGCTTCCAACTTCTGACTTAGTATACACACCCAAAAAATAACTCCTTTCGTCAATTAGCTTCAAATTGCTCAAATCACTCGGGGGGAAGAGCGTAAGCGCTCAGTAACCATTTCATGGTAAGCACATGATTGCAACGTATCTGGGAGGTGACCCTTACAGTGATCCTATACAAATCTTACAAGAATTACAGAGTAAAAAAATAATAACATTAACAATAAAAGGAGAATTTACAAGCTACATTGAATCTGTACAAATACTTGCTTCTTTCTGTAAGGTAATAATGATGTGTCTGTCTTTGATAATACATCTCTGTACAAGTTGTATGCTGTCGTGGTAGGTTTAAACAGGGTCATGGTGGGGTATATCTTTTTTGCTGTACAAATAGCCGTCACAGCCGGAACTGGGAGACAAGTCGGTATATTATCCAAAATGCTGTACACATTATACAGAACCTGTGGGCCGATGTATATTTACATGTACCCCCTCCCACAAAGCATTATATCAACAATCTGAGGTCTCTAATGGAGTTAGTCCTGAATTATTGTGTGATCTATTTACAATTCAAACCAGTTGACAAATTGAGGATTTAAAATGGTCGATGTCCTATGAACTACAAGGTAGGTATGGAACGGGCATTGTGCTCAAGTCTCATTACGTTCCAATGTAAAGGCTGAAGTCTATGTTATATCCCTCATACTGTTTTCATTCCATACCTAAACATATGTACAGGAATCCAATGTTCTATTTCATATTCCTTTTACTACAACTTGACTAGACGAGTTTATAACAGTGTGCGCTAATTCTTCCATTCTGAAATTTGTACAATGAAGGTGTTAGAAAATTCATCCTGGTAAGGAGCTTGGTCAGGTTGCCATGATACATTTCCTATAATAATGAATAGTTTCCAAAGTGAGAGATAGAGAAAAAAATTCTTTACAATATGTACTCTTTTCTATTTTACAATAATTACAAGAGATATGGACCCTTATACAGAGGGCAATATTTCTTTCTCAAAAGGGTTAATTTTCCTGCCCGGTACGATCATATTTTTCTTCTTCTTTTCGTTTTCTCTGCCTATCAAAAGGCACACAATGGAAGACAATTCAGAGGGTTTAGTAGGGTACAGAGCACAAAATTTCCCTATTCTTTGTTTTTTATCCATCTGCTGTATGTTCAATATAGGGATTGCATGTGTTTTGGCAATGCAATTATGTCATATTTACGAGGTTAATATTTACACTTCACTTGACTTGATGATCTTGAATTTATAACGCCTGCACTACTGACAGATTTGCGTCTGCAGATGAGCACCACTCACACGACAGATCTGACGTGAGCTGTGCTTATGTTTTATCTAAGTGCTTGGTGTAACCGGGTGAGTGATCCGTGTTCTATCTCAAATCCTAGTGCTGATTAACGACACACAACAGTCCTTTACAAGACACTATAAACCTAACATAGATCCTGTAGTGTGGAACTATACACCCAACACAAGATCCTCTAATATGGACCCAGCGACAAAGCTCTTCATCTAAATAGGACTATTCAAAGCTTTGAGTTTTGTGGTGTGGGAAAAGTCAGAATTAGCAGTGCCAAGATAATTACAAAAGGGCAACATTGAGGTGTGTGTGGCTTACTTTAGTTTATCATGCTATGAATAATATACACCAAAGGTTATACTTCCTACTTTTGGCAAACTGCCTAGTCAAACTATTTTTAAAAATGCCATTAAATTATCAAGCCAATTTACAATAGAAATACAATAGCTAAATACACCAAGATACATACATATAATGCAAAGTAAAGTACAAAACCCTCAAAAAGGAAAAATAATTAACAAAGAGCAAAGTATTAAATGCTTGTAAAATAATGTATATCATACAATTATAAGTCATATTAAAACAAAATTCATATTACATTTCCACTTTTTTCATTTTTACAAATAACAAGAAATTCATGCAATAAATTTTCATAATGCTAAATATGTACCATGCTAAATACAATTTTCACAGAAGAAATACAAATGCAAGTTCTGCTAATCCATCCACCGACCACCTAACTGGGATTTGAATTCTTTTACTATCCTACTACTATGATATCCCAGGAATATATGTATATATAATATGTATTCAAAACACAACATAGTCCACTGCAAAAATTGAAAATTTCAATGACTACACGAGTATGACTACTATGGACATTCATATCAAGGTCCCTACACTAACAGCTAGGTAAAATCCAGATGATACATTCATTACAGAAAAGCTTTTTTTTAGATCGTTTTATCAACATTTTTTCTTTTCTCATTTTCAAATCTGTTTCAAGACTACTCAAGCATGCATTCTAGACTAACAATGTTGAGGTTCGGGCGGGCAGAGGGTAGGTTGCCATATTGTATATCAAATGACCTTCAGAGAGCCCAATATCCGCTCAGCAGTTTCATGGGCCTTTGTCGGGTCAGATATATGCAATCAATTCTTTACGATGTCATTTGTTGCGTGCTTTTCCCTTCAAAGATCGTTTCACAGCATTTAAGAGGGTAATTTCTTATTTTTCATCTCCTCTTGATCAGAATCAATTTCATTTCATTTCTCTTCCTCCCTCATCAAAGCGTCAAGGTAGGATTCTTATGTATCTGTTTATCAAAAATAATACGACATCATCACCTCCGATCCTCTTGGACTAACCTCTGCCCACAGTAAACAATCAAATTGTATTTTTTTGTGACGAATTTGAAAATGTTAATACGCAAAAACTTGCCATCGCTTATACGCTCAAGAACGAGACAATCGATTGTTCTGTGTCAACAATATATATATATTCTGTAGTTCCAGAGCTCTAAGAACATAGAGGGTTAATAGAATGACTGATTTGAGATATTTCAATGTTGCTACGCAAACGTAAAGTTACAGGTAATGTGTTAACTCCATGTAGAATATGAAACCTTAAATTTATCCAAATCAAGAGGGAAAACAAGAGAATGAAGATGATTTCAAAAGCATTTCTCTCACTTTCAAGTTGAACACAAGTGCATGATAAAAGATTGTCTCGTCCCTGGCTCAGGCTGCAGCAGCGGCTACTTTCTCCCTGCCTTGCCTCACACCTGCATCTCTACAAGGTGCCGTTGGTGGGTCCACCGATGGGTCCCAGGTCGTTGCTCTTCATGAAGAACTTCTCCAGCTTGGCCAGGATGTGCTTGCCGTAGGTGTACTTGCGCAGCGACGCCACGTAGGGACGGATCTTGTGCATCAGGATCTTGCGCTGATTGGGCTCGGAGACGTCGATCATCTTCTGCACCACATAGTTGGCGTACTGGTCCTTCATCATGGTGTACAGGGCACTGTGAATGAAGTTTGCAAATATTTGTTTCAGTTAATTAAAATGTTTTGGCAGTCCCACTCCCAGCAATGTGATAATCAAAATTAGAACTTGTATGAGAGCTTGAAATGTTATAGCTCCTTTTTTCAAGTACTTTTTATTCTTTTAAGCTAAAAATAGAAGTAGTTGAATCCCCTAAATGCTCAGAAAAACTTACATGGCAAAATTTGAAGAACAAATGGGACTCAAATGAAAGCATTTCATGAGTTTCCTGGACATGACCAATAAAACTGCAATAAACGATTTTTTCCTTGGCTTACCCGTCATTGTAGGAGCAGACTTCATCGATGAGAAGAGCCCTCTCAGGTCGCGAGGAGTGTGTGATGCATTTCTCAACCACGTTGCTATGGAGATATAAGAAGAAAAGCAATGTTACATAATGTTCCAACTATCAATATAAGGTAGGCAAGAGACACATGAAAGTACATTTGTGGAAGACATTCCTGTTTCTTCCATGTGCTAGAGTTACTCCCCCCCCCCCCCCCCCCCCAGCCCCATATTAAAGCAGGTGTGTTATCTGACTTTGTTAAACTTAACCCTACCAGTTTACCAAAATTTATAGCCTAGAATGAAATGAAACCGTGTTACAGCCCATATAGAATTTCACGTGTCTGCACCACTTTTGGGTGTGTAGGGACCCTCCAAAGATACAGCCCAAATACTATGTAATTCTGCCAATTCCCATAGGGAATCATTGTCCATGCATCTGCACCACTTCTTGGTCAAAGCATCTATACAGACAGTTTGGCCAACTTGTTTCATTTGGTCACACAGCATGGTGTATATTCTTCTGTTTTGTGGTTGCCCGACAAAAGCAGTGTTTCGCCTGGTTGGCCCAACTCTGTACATTGATGGCTCCGTGTTCTTGGGGTGTAGAGAGAGAGATCGCACCCTCACCTGGCAAACTTGTGCTGACTGAGAACAAGGACTTTCCCTCTCATCTCGAGTACAATCTTGCTCTTATCCTCTGGTCTACCATGCTCCAAGACGTGCTGCACAGAGAGAACGAAACAACGGGTGAACTTAGAACCAGAATATTACAACACGTTACCATTTTTTCATACCTGCCAACTTTCGACAAAAAAAAAAAAATAAATTGAATTCTCTCAAAGCAAAACAAAATAAGGAAAATGATGTATTTGGTATGCTTTTATGTAGAAGTATTTTTCGGAAGGAAGAGAAGTATCTATACATCCCGACATTGGCTTGAGGACTAAAGTATTGGAATAACTCCTTCAAGATTGTAATGTTTGCGAGATATGTCTTATATGATAAATGATAAACATCACCATGTTTGCCATCAAAGTTTTTTTTCCAGGCCCTTGCAATTGCAAAAGTCCAAAATACCCTCAGATATTGCCTCAAGTGTCCAACTCATTTTATCTCGTATGGGTCAGAAAAATCCTTTCAGATCTACAATTAACACCTAAATTATTCATATGCTTGTTAATTTGATGTTTTTTCGAAATTCAAGAATGAAAGGTTGATTGGTTCAATTAAGACCTCGGTTGAATACTTGAATACATTCTCAAGAAACATAGATCTGGACAGAACAATTTTTCACATACTTGAAATAATCCCAAACTTGATAAGGGTATGAATAATAATTTAGTTGTTAACTGTATATTATTCATGTAGCGCTGAATTCGAGAGCACAATTTTGAAGGATGAGAGATTACTCCTCATGGAGATCTGCATCATCACCTGCAATGCCATCTTACCTGAATGACATAGTTGCCATACTGGTCTTGAACAAGGCTCTCCGTCTGTTGATGAAGCTCGTCTAGAAGAGGTTTGGTCTGTTCAACAATGCAATGCTCCAAGATACGCTGGATGACACGGCAGCCGTATGGGTGTGTGGAGAGAGAATACACCTGTGCCTCAAAAAATAGAAATAGTACAAGTTTTATAAAATATGTGACGACAATATACATCCATAAGGGGTGAGATGTACTGTGGAGGCAAGTTGCAGAGGTTTTATCTCTGCCTTGATAACTAATGACAATAGAGTGCTTTCAAATATGAAATATTCACAAATATTAAACAAATCATGAGCTTCACCCCAAGCTAACACAGAAATAGAACACGTGTGTACTGTGTGTTAAGCACTTAAAGGAAGATGTCAGATTCTCTTTAACTTTCAGTTGCTGGAAAGGTTTTTAATCAAGTAACTACAAGACGAGCTCCTTCTAATTTTGATTCTTATGGATTTGTAAACAAATCAATAAATGGTTCTGTGACACATACTGCTGCAACAATTGCTCTGCAGTGTTTTTTGTCTTTTTCTATCACTAATCAAATTCCAAACTGTAACCTTGTACCTAAACCTATCCCTAACCCTACCCCGTAACCCAACTACAACCTCATTGCAAACACCACCTAGCCCTACATCTCTCATCAAATAAAGTCTCCAGCATTATGTGGTCAGAAGATGGGAGAACCGGATGTAGATGTTACCTGTCCTCTGAAGGCATCCACGATGAACTGGAGCGCCGCAGGCTCCACACACTCGATGCACTTCTGCACGACATGGTTGCCATTCTGGTCCTTGACACACTTCAGCACATGGCCATCGAGCTCCTTCACCATCTCAGTCTGGGATAAACAAACGAACAAAGACAAGAGAAGGGATTTAGTTGTATTTCGCCAACGTTGACGTGTAACAATGCATCAATGTGTAATACATCATTAAAATTTGAATGCATGATTGTTCAAAATAGTTAAAATGCATAGTCAAAATGTGTAGTCACCCGGTCAATTTAGTTAGCATAGCAGAAAGTAATTTGTTCATATACATTTAAAAAACGGAACATGCACCATTAATTAGCAATTTAGATTAGCATTGAAGTAAAAAGGACTGGGGAGGGCAAAAAAAAATTATATTAGATGTAAGAATATAAAATAAAAACTCGAAGTTTGCGTTTAAAGCAATTTCATTTGTGACAAGATCTGTGATATCCCAAAATTAGGGTTGCTTTGTAACACACAAAAATCTGCAATATCACAAGTGATAGGTGCTATGGGGGAAGTAGATCATTCAGCCACTCATAGCCTCTTGAAAGAAAAAAAAAATCTTTTTGAAAATTGAATCATGGAGTTGGGGGTCTGGTTTGTAAAATTGGGAAGGGGGGGGGGGTAGGGAACATGTGCAATGGACTTTCTCTAATATGGAGTCTTGACTAAGGGCATGGTTTCCTTACAGCATAACTAAAAGAGAATAAATAAAATGAATACAATTACATACAATTACCTGCAGTTCCGGTGGGATGGACTCGAGAGCTTTCTGGATCACCCTGCATCCGTACATCTGGAGGGCTAGGGGTAAGACATGGCCCCGGATCCGTTGGGCCAGTGCCTGCTTCTGCTCGGGGAGGCCAAACTCAAAGAACTTCTGGATGACATAGTTGCCAAAGACATCCGTCATCAGGCTGTAGGCTGCACCCAGGATTTCGCTGAAGACCATCTGCCGTTCGGTTGGGGTAGCACGCTCCAGCTTCTGCTGTATGAAGCGCGACCCATGTTGGTCCTGAGACAAGAAACGGGGGAAAGTGGTCTTTTAGTCCTTACAGTGCTACGATTGCAAAGATTTAACAACTACAAAGAAGTAAAGCTATTGAAAAGGTGTTAAAAACAAGAAAAGAAAACCTTTGACACTCCTGATAGCTGATCATAGATGTAACAAAACTTTATTATCATCCAATCTATGATATTGACCAACACCATGTATTACGATAACACGTAATGGAACATCTTGTATGATCAATTATCTGGTCTATGCATCATCAATACGATTTTAAATTGCAAGAAGAAAGAGTTCACTTATTCAAGGTTCAAAGAATCGTAAATCTCTCTAGAGCACTATCATCAATGACTGGAACTCACTATCCTCTGACATCCAAAGGACCACAAACATCGACACCTTCAAACTACAAGCAACCATTTTCTCTGCAACCAAGACTCAAGCAATAAGAACTAAACAAACAACAGAGCGCACCCCCTCATCCTCCTCGCTTGGTTCCTAACAGGACGTTGAGAAGTTTTTTTCCAGAAGAGAAGAGGAAGCATTAATCAGTAAGGAGACAAACATTGAAGTTGTGCCTTACCTGAGAGAACTCCACAATATGGCTGACAAGGTCCCTGAGCTGCAGGTTGGGGAAGCGGTTGTTACGGAAGTCTTCCAGGAGCCTGCTGCGACCGGGGGCGCTCTTCTCCATGTAGGCGGTACTGCGGAGGCTACGTGGAGGGAACAGGGTGTTGGAGCCCCATCCCGACCCGCTGGTACTGGAGGAGGTCGATCCACTGCGATACTTGACTTCCCCGCCTGGCCATGGATGGATGGATGGATGGATGGATGGATACAAGCGTCAATAAAGTCAGTCAGACTAGTCCCCTGACAATTCCTTACTCATGCAATCATTGCTATTGTCCCTCAACATAATCTTCGCTTCCTCATTTTAATTGTCCATATTATTATACTGTTCAATTAACTCTTCCCAGACATTATATCATAAAAAAGCAGAGACTTGATATCAAAAGTACAGGATTGACAACAAAGAGCTGACTGTCTTTCTACTTCTATTTTGAGCAATTTTATCGAACATCAAGTCAGTGACTTGTGACAAATTTCTGCACAAGAGCATGCCATTACATGTACATGAACATGCATCTACACTTTCTAACTTTTTAACATAATCTGTACAACAAGAAACTTTTGCATGTAGGAAAATGTCCAGAATATGACTGCATAATGTGCTCACTTAAAGATTAACAAGATTATCATGAAGGGTATCCTACATCAAATTGTCTGCAAACATGCCTAATGCATGATTCCCATAAAGGAATCTGCAAGAACTAAAATTGCTCCTTTTGTTGCGTGGTAACATATTAACTGTAAGTGTAATGCTGCTCGCAACATTTTAATATAAATCAAATATCGTTTTTCTCATACTAAACTTTCTGTTTGTATGCCTTATGGTTTGTTTGTTTGTTTGTTGGTTTTAGTCAAAAATCAAAAGTCTTCACAAGTGTGTTATGAACATATAAACATAACAATTAACATAAAAGTATCTGTCAAATTGAATAATGAAGAATATTTTTAAGTAAGTTCACTTCAACACCTTGAAACAGGAAAAGATAAAGAAAGTAAAGGTGAATCACATCAAACTCTGTATGCCAAATCTTGTGCAATAATACAAATTCATTTGTTAATACCAAACAGTAGCACTCTATTGGATTAAACACTACAGAGAAACACAACACTTCAAACTTTGGTTAGTACATGTAAGATACAGAAGTTGATTAAGTCCATATGGGCGTATGGCTATCAAATCCAACTCTAAAGCTCAGTGGCTCGTTTATCCAGAATGCAACGGTACACGAAGGCACCAAACGCCTAGTTGAAATCATGCTGCTTATAATATCACGATGCTTAAAACATATGCAATTAACTCCATAATTCTTCAAATATGCAATAAATCCATACGTACAACTGTCATACAAGGTGAGGACGGAGGAGTGGGTCAGATGGGGAGGGAGGGCAGGTGGGTTAGGGGTCGGTGAAAACAGAAGAGCGACAGACAGGAATATTTGTGTTGGTTTTAAATCATTGCTAGAACAATCTAAAAATATGGCCATCACGAGTATGGTAGCTCTCTCATTTGCACTGATGAATGATATTTAAGAGTTACAATCATTAAATTGTTTTATCCTTTTCGCCCTGAAAGATAGATATCAGGCAACATTTCTGTCCTGTAAACCTTCAACGAATGCCTTAAAATGCCAAAATGGATGTCACCTATAGCTCGTTTTTGTTAGTAACTTATGGATGCAAATACGGTACCACTTCAGACCTAATTAACATTTCGAACACTTTTCATTACTCATGCATATAAACATACACATGCTTCAAAAAATAATAGGTGACTCACATTTCTGATTTTTATATATTCATTAAGTCTTCTTTTACCAGGGTGGCTTCATGAGTGATTTTGACACTGTTTTACAAGAAGGCCCTGATATCTTCATGAATGTCAAACATCTTTTATACTACTACCAAAGCGGTCTTTTTCCTATAGATTTCATACCCAGCAAACAGTGGTGATGCGATGCATGCAAATTCCAGAATATGGCGAGCAATGTACAAAAGGGTAACAGAGGAGGCAAATTGTAATTTAGAACTGAAAGGAAAGGCAAGGCAATGCAGTTATGGCAAGGCAAAGAGGAAGAATGACAGGATTGGGATTGGAGTAAGTGAAGGGGGCATAGGAGGGGCTTAGGAGGGGCTGTGGAAGGGGAGGGGCTGTGGAAGGGGAGGGGCTGTAGGAGGGGAGGGGCTGCTGAAGGGGAGGGGGAGGGGGAGGGGGTGTGGTAGCAGGGTAGGGGGTGGGGTAGCAGGAGAACTACTGGACGGGGAATGATCTTTACAGGAGGGGGTAGATAGGGTAAAGTATTGCTTGCCTGGGGATGGAACCGAGTATGACATTTGGTCCATACTGAATGGTGCGTTGGTGCCGAGTGCCCTGTTGCCCCACTCATTCTTTTGCCTGGACCACGTAGCACCGGGCCCTGTTAGTAGGTTATCTGAAAACAGCAAATGATCAACGTTTTTGTTTTCTACTCCTTTCACTCGAGTCTTACTGGCTTATTTTCCTTCTGGGTCCAGCACTCTATGCACCATATATACTTTCAGAGGAAAGACGTATCACTGCGAAATTCATGAACAGCACAAGTGCGCAGCTAAATATCCTGGAGATTAACAAGCTAAAACAAAATTCACACATCACTTACTCCATATTTAGATTTGGATTCTATCCAAGAGAATTCAAGTAAATTTTCTCAAGGCTTCACAACAGATGTTGTTGACACATCTGTAAAGGTGTCAAACCGTATGCCATTGTTAATCCTACTGTAATATATATGGTGCATAGAACAGCAGGGTAGTTTGTCTCCTTTCACACTCTCTGTGTAACCGTACACGAAAACCCACAAAAAATACAACAAACACTCTGTGTAAACAACCCCAATAGTAGAAATATTCAAAAATAAAAAGATTATAATAGGTAAAATTTGAACACACCCAAATAGATACTCCATCATAAGAAAGAGTGAAAAAGAAATTTTCACTGAACAATTGAGAACTGTTGGTTGGATGAATGAGTGTTATTAGAATGAACTATCTAATGCATCAACAACTTCAACAAAAAGAACAATAACTGGTGTAAGTATTTCAAGTGAAAGAGCCACACATTTCCTCCAAGAAATATAGTGAAAAGTAAATGATGAAATAGATCTGTAAGCTTTCAAGAGAGAACTCAAACTATCTGTGCACTTGGTTGAATTGTAAATACGTATTGCTATTACGAACCAGATTGCATGAATCTTGTTCTACTAATTTCAGTTATTAATTTCTTTTGTATTGAATGACTGGGGTTTTAAATTTGCTGATCACTTAATGCATTTTGGAGCATTTACAACATATTATTTTATTTCATTGTGCTTTTCTTGAAAATAACTCAGGTAAAACTGTTATTCATCTTTGCCCATTAATCATTATGAACTCCTGATATTAGGGCACTTTGGTGAATTATACACTTGAAGTACATTTTGAGACGCTTGTATTCTCATATTTAGTAATCAATCAATTACTCCTTGTACAATTCAAATCATCAAGCTCTTTAAAATTAGTTGCGGTTTAATTCTGCCTGTATTTCAATATTGTATTCAAGATTTTTTTTTCCCCATTTTTTTTCCTTCTTCTTCAAAACTTCATAATTCATGAGCTCCAAAGTATAGCCTAAAAACTGCTGGGATTCACTAAAAAGTGTCCACAGTAGATATGGAACAGGGAAAAAAAATAATATTTATTTTTCGGGGGCTGCTTTTCAAGCTTGCCTGCATGAAAATAACATTCTAAAATTTGTTTTGCATTGAACTCTATGCAAATTTACAGGGCTCTTTTGTGATATTCGGGGGCTCTTTTGGGCATTTCGGGGGCTATTTCGCCCCGAGCCCCCGTGTATTTTTTTCACTGAATTATTATTATGGAAACCTAACAAGCCATTTTGAGCTTTCTCTCATTGAAGATAAGAGGCAACAAAGCACACAGAAAACACAAACAACACAAGAACACAACACATCAAGAGAAAACACTTACCAAAGTCAGCTGGAGAGTTGTGAATATGAAAGAGAGGTGAAAGATAAATGCATTGATTTAAAAATAGATTGATTTCACATAAAACGGTGCACTGCTTTATAACTTTTGTAATTACTCGCAGTAAGAGGAATTTCTAAGCTCAATAATGGAAAAGTGTATCTTCTATTTTAACGACTTCAATAACTTTCCTAGACAAGAGAATATGTAAAATCTGAAATTAATTTTTCAGATAGAAGAAACTGGTCCACGTCTTTCAAACTATATATGTTCAGGATTAAACGAGTTGTCTTAGTACATGAACATTTCTATGATCATATCAGTCAGGGGGGTGGGGCAGAAGAAGTCTCTAACTCATAATTTATGGGTAATTACAAAAATATCAGCAAGAAATCTGTTTGCTGGAACTGCATGTTGCTAGAGATTTCTGAAAACTATACCTTTGAAGTAGGAAAAAGTCAATCTCACATGGGAGTTCAATAGCAGGTTGCTAATAGCTCATTTGTCCGGGGCAACCAAAACATACTGACTTGGCCAGCATTCATTGTTCTGATATAAGATTGTCTTAGAATTTGTATGAGAAGTCGGTGTTTGGACTAGTGTTACAATGCCAATATGTCTTCATTACACAAGATAGAGGTTATTTAAACATATTTGTGGCTTATACCCAGTAAATAACATCGATTGATTGATCTGTAATTGAAAAACAAGTCAGAAAAAATCTTGAACCAGCCATCTACTGCTTGCAAAGCAGCGACTCTACCACCAGGCCATCACCGGTCCATTGCACAGTCACAAATATTTAAATAATTTAAATTTCTCCCAGAAAGCATTACATTTATAAAAGATAATGGTTTACTTACCAAGTCCTAGCCCTATGTTCTGGGACGGAGGAGGAGTCAGCGATCCACCGGTGTGGGTGGGGGAGATGATGGGACCAAGCTGGGGTGAGCTGCCATAGAACTGGCTCATTCCCAGTCCTCTCTTGTAGTCAGAGCTACCGCCCAGTGAGTCACGGCGCTGGATGGGAGTGTCTGCTCCCGAGCCGCTTAGTCCTGAAATGGCAGTAACAATAGATTATGAGGACATCAATAAGACGTGTCTTGTACATCCTTCAAAAATTTAGTCTCAATCATGAACGGTACAGGTCTTAGAGATTAATAACTCAAACAGTGCGCAAGGCAAGTAAAATATATATTCCCCTTACAAAAGCATGATCTGCTATACAGCCTCCTCTCTCGTGGGAACAAATGACAGGAATAATACGAATGAAACTTCCAGCACAAGTTTATAACAAAAATCTGTACATAATTGATTTATCCCGTTCTTAAAATCAGTCCATATAATCAAGTTAAGCTTCCTCTGGATAGTTTAGAGCCATTTTCTGAATTCCCTACAAATTTAAGTGTATCGCAAGATATTGAAAACCTCATTTTACTTATAAAAATCTGCCTGCTGTTGACAGTATAAATAAATTGGCCATAGCAACAAGCCACGTTTCATGACATGACCAACAAGAACCTTTGGGTATACTATGAAATCATCAAAAGAGGTCTATGATCTTACCACTGTTGAAGACGGAGCTACTCTGGCCTGCGTAGGAGCCGAGTCCACCGCCGTTGTTCTGCTGATTGGAGGCCATCTGCTGGCTGCTGGTATAGAGGGACATGGAGGCGGCATTGTGGCCCTGTCCTTGGCCCTGCCCGGGCTGGGGTTGGGGTTGCTGCTGGGGCTGGGCCCCCACCATCCGGAAGTTACCGTTGGTGCCTGTGAATCCATTTGCTTGCACTGTGGGTTCAGAAAGGCAGGAAAGTGAATGGATTGAAGGTGTTTGCCATACATTTGGTTGAAACAGGACAAAAATCAATTTCAGAGCCAGCACATAAAGGTTACATCACAAACTAATCAATTTACACTTGCACCATTTTTGTATATAATTGTTAATGCAAGTATACCAATTAAAATACGTCATGAACATTCATAATGAAATGTAAGGAACTGAACAAAAAATGATTGAAGGTTTGTTTTATATACTAGTCCAATTGGTAACTTCAACAGTTGATACAACAATAACCATTGACCCAATTGCAACCCACTCTGAGCACCAAAGCCGTATAAAATGATGTAAAAATACATTACATCACTAATCAATCTTGGGTTACGAATAAATTTGTTTAAATTCGATACCTGGTGCGTTTTGGGTGCGTGGTATTCTACTATTCTTACTCTCAATCAGCAGAGACCTTGAGAAAAGTGAGTAATTTCCGTTTCACAAAGAAACCGTCTGGTTTTGACTCGCGCAATTAAAACTAACCGTGATGTATCAACAATGAAAGATCTTTACCTGTCTGAGCACCGCTCACGATGACAGGTGCTGGGGACACCAGTCTGACAGGAGCTCCCATGCCTGGTCTCTGGCCTAGGTTGATCAGGGCTCCAGTCTGGTCATAATAGGTGATGACTTGATAACCAGCTGTGGGAAAAAACGAAAACACAGGAGATTTGGTAAAGAGATGTACATGATACCAAAGTGCTGTAGCAATGTGACATGATGTAATCAAGATTCCAATATCACTTTCATTAACCAAATCTGAATAGAGCTGGCAAGTAAGTGAATATTAGGCTTGAGTCGGTATGGTCGATCACACCGGGACCCGACCGTTGCCGTCGGGTCCCGGTTTCGTTTTTTGAGAACCGACGCTCCGAAAAAAATAATGAAATATGTAAGAAATTGCAGTTTTGCACACCACTAAAATCAATCCACCTTAAAACTTAAAGTATTTAATTGTTACCAATCATATTCTAGCTCATCCTGAATCAATCCGAACTGCTGATATAAATATGGGTTGCAAGGCAGTTCGCCCCATGGGGTTGTCGTTGCCAGCTGCTAGCTAGCTACTGTACTGGCCGGGTCCCTCGGCAGGATTAATAAATCAGGTTGAAAGAAACATTAATGTTTGAATAATAAAACGGCCTTCTAAAAAGTACTTCTTTACAACATACCGATCGAATAATTTTTAAAAGACAAAATATATATTTTTTCTTTGATTTTGAACACTGCATGCTTCTTTTAAAAGCTGAAAATTACTTGGTAATCACAAGAAGTTTCGATATGGATAGCTGTTGCAAGGCAAGTTCAGACTAGTCTCGGAAAAATGCACAGTGCTCCTCGTTAGCTGTAATGCGTGCCAGAACGGACCCAAACAAAGACGTGATCATAACGAGAAAAAAAATCATTAAAAACTACGAGAGCACAATTGGAAAGACAACTACTCAAAATTATCGTAAGCAGATACATAACTTGGAGGAAGAAAAAAATAGTTGTCCAAGAAAAGCCACATAAATAGTGATATTTATGGAGTTACTATAGGTACAATCATTATCAGAAGGGCCTGCTGCAATATCCGAATTACACGTGTTTAAATTGAACACGAGGCTATACGAGGCAAATACCGCCCTCTACGGTAAAAAGCAGTATAACAAAGGATTTGAGTATTTGCAGTATAGGCCCCTTGCGATTATCACAATTTCTGTGGCATTTCTTGGGCGATTATTGAATTCTTTGTCCAGGTTATCTATCTGATTATGGTAGTTTTTAGCAGTAGTTGTCTTTCCAATTGTGCTCTCGTAGTTTTTAATGATTTTCTTCTTGTTACGATCACGTCTTTGTTTGGGTTCGTTCTGGCACGCATTACAGCTAATTACGAGGAGCAATGCGCATTTTTCCGAGACTAGTCTGAACTTGCCTTGCAACGGCTGTCCGTATCGAAACTCTTGATTACCAAGTAATTATCAGCTTTTAAAAAAAGCATGCGATGTTTAAAATAAGAGATCAATATTTATTTTGTCTTTAAAATATTATATGATCGGTATATTGTACAGAAGAAATTTTTAGAAAGCCGTTTTATTATTCCAACATTCATATTTTTTGACCAGATTTATTCAACCTGCATAAATCAAAATGGCGGCTCGAATGTTGTCTTTCTATTTCTGCCCCAGTGTTTTGATTTGATTGATAAACTAGATGGAATTTTGACTGCGCGCAGTCGAAAATGATGCCTCCGCCATAGAGCAATTTAAACAAGTTTGGAGTTTAACCCTATTTAGCCCGGGCTATTTTGAAACTGCATAGCCCGGGGGGGGGGGGGCTTCTCAGGCCCCCCCCTATGATCTCGGCCGTGAAACGACCGATCGCCGCGAAAATTTGCATACATGTCAAGTGAAGTGTATAGATTACTATGGTAATTTCAATTTTTTGAAAAATTCACTCATTTGCATATTTATGGTAATTTATGCAAATAAGGTCATCAAATTCACATTTTTGCCCATAAATCAGACATTATTCATATTTAAGCATTCTTTCTCACTACATATATTTGTTAGACCATTTGGAATAATAATACAACACAAAAACTTGAAAAACCAGGGTTATTCTTTATGTTATCTATTGTTTTGATAATTTCTTATGTATTTCTTTGTTTTTTTAACTCATGTATTTTTATTGTTTTTGTTGTTTTATTTAATTTCCAACTATAATTCAACTATTTTGACCCCAAAATAAACACCTTAACTATAAACAAGACCAAATAACCAATGTTTTATCTCTTTATTTGAAAAAATGAGATTTCCATATGTTTTGTACACAAATCACAAAACTGAGCGATTTTCGGGCTGACATGCAAAGACAAAAGGTCATGTGACTTTGTAATGGTAGGTCCGATTTTCGAAAAATTTCTTTCAAAAGATGCGCAAGACTCGAAAGAAAAATGTCACAAAATTTCAGTGCAAGATTTTCTTGCGTTAAAAAATTATCGCGAAAAATGTCGAGGGGGGGGCTTCTCAAGCCCCCCCCCCCCCCCCCCCCCGGGCTAAATAGGGTTAAATCTCCAGTGGTTCTTGAGATATCATGATAACAATCTCAATGTATGGAATTTCATAAGTTAAATCTCCAGTGGTTCTTGAGATATCATGATAACAATCTCAATGTATGGAATTTCATAAGTTGAATCTCAAATGGTTCTTGAGATATCGCGCTAACAAACTCAATACAAGGAATTTCATAAGTTGACCTCTGTGACCTGTGACCTTTGACCTACGTACTCCAAAATCTAATCAGATCGTCTTCCTATGGTGATAAATACTATTCCCGAGTCTTAAGTTTAAATCTTAAATGGTTCTTGAGATATTGTGATAACGGTCAAATGGGACGGACGTACGGACGGACAACCCGAAAACATGATGCCTCCGGCACCACCTTCGGTGGCGGAGGCATAAAAAGGTCACTTTTAAGGGACATACTGATGATATGCGCTTTTTATAGACGCAAGTGACAAATCCTGCGAGCTGATTTCGGGACACCGGGTCCCGATCGGTACAAGGCCGTCGGGACCCGGTTTATGAAAATCCCGACATGACTCAGGCCTAGTGAATATGATGCCAAACTGCTGCAGCATGCAGACTCAGGGTAGCTAGCATTTCAATATATTCTCCAATAACCAAATCTGAAATCATCACAACATTGTACTGAAAAATGATGTGCTTACATTTATGCCAAAGGTCTTCGCCATTGACAAATTAAAGGTTGGACAAGTAATCTGCTATACCTATCTGCGACCAATTTCATAGGTATGCGTACTTCACCATCATCAAGATCATCCACTCACTTGTGTGAATGCATAAGTCTCAAAATCTTCCAAAGAAATACCTAGAAATGTCTAAAGGTGAAATTTTGAATACAGTGTCTTGTGTATGCTTTTTACACAGAAGTTTTCAGGAAGAAAAAATCTTAGTTTTCATAAAGTTAGCTCCAAGGCTAAGTGGCAGACTAATGGGAACCATTCCTGCAAAATAGGAATGGTTTGGTTGTACTACTGACCTGCTGGGAAGGGCATTCCCGGCTGAGCGCCTGGCTGACCTGCCATCTGCTCTCCCTGACCCTGTGGGGTTCCAGCTTGCTGTTGCTGCTGCTGTTGTTGCTGCTGCTGTTGCTGCTGTTGTTGTTGTTGTTGCTGCTGCTGTTGTTGTTGCTGCTGCTGTTGGGAGGGGGTCATAGGTCGTCCACCATTCTGGGCCCTTTGTTGCTGTCCCTGGCCACCCTGCTGTAATAATTGTAGGTAGTATGTTGATAAGAGATCTCAATGCAACCTAGAAATCGTCGAAAATCATTCTCTGAGAAGTGACCAACTTTTGTTTATAAGTGGCCCAACCTTTGTGGAGCAGTGTGCGCAGCGCTTTGTAGCAACAAGGAAAAGGCGCTTTATCAAATATATTTTGATCGATTCATTCATTTTCAAACACTATCTTCAAGTGAATTATTCACCCAGCTATGAGCCCCCAGGGAGATGTGAGTTGGTTTAGCAGCAGAGTCAGCTCTCTGTCTTTGCCTACAGACCGACTCGGATGGACCCTAGCTCGACTTTCAAGTCATTTCGAGGTCTGTCCACAGACATAAACAGACTTACTAGTAATTGATATAAAATTCCCAATATAAAAACACACACAGTTTACTACCTCGGTGGTCAAGTACATGTAGATTCTCATTTGCAATTATCTATTCTAATCAATACTTTGCAACATGATTATCAGTCATCATTTATCATGTATTTTACATTACTATCATTCTTACTACTGTTATCATTTATCATTCTTACTATTGCCAACTGTTGCCATTATCTTGTCAATTACGACCACTTCTGCTTAATTATTGTGATTAACAACATCTACTCCTACAACAACTACTGCTATAATCACTCAACAACCATCGACGGTAGAACAATGCTAACCTGTTGTGCTTGTTGGTTAGCAGCTGCAGCGGCTTGTTGCTGCTGCAGGCCAGGTGGCAGAAGACCGACGGGGTACACAGCACTCCAGGGTGTAACACCGTATGCATACTGGGGAGGCATCACTGCCGGTCCTCCTGGATAATGACAAACCGGAAAGATCATCAAATATACAGATCATCCAGAAACCAATGATCATCATACTCACGGTTGAAAGTAATGCTTATAGCGGGATCAATGTAAAAAGGGGTTCAGGAAACAAAGACTCTGAATCCTGTAACTTCCTCCATATCAAAAGTGGTCTAGTGCACACAGAGCCATATAATCTAACTCCGGTGCGAAGGCTAACATTGCGGAAAGTGTGGAGCCCTGCTTATGGTAATGCCGATGAAACCTGATCACTCATGATGTAATAATCTGGAATGCACAATGCTGAAATGCATACAAATTTATCATACACTCAAAGTTGGCAGCAGATCACTGCCAAAAGAAGCGGCTCATATCAAACTCTCAACTTGTTATTCAACATACTTCAAACTCATGACTGAATTGATTATTCTTAGTAATACGGCAATATATATTTGATGAATGTGGATAAGGCATGTGGATAATGAGCAAAACATAACAACCGATGTTTGTGTAAGATGAGAAGGGCCTACACTTACCTGCAACAGTGGCAATGCCGAGAGCGTATGGATCCTGTCCATTCTGAGGGGCTCCAGCGATAATGTACGGGTTGCCTGCCAGTGCTGAAAATGAATAGAATTGTTACATGAGCAAGATTCCACCTTGATGGCTTAGAATTGAACAATTACTGCATGGCATTACATTTTTTTGCATCTCTTTATAGCAGAATCTATGAGAAAACGATTGTACTATTTCCACTTCTAATAAAGCTACAGCTATTGCTAACGAGGAAAGTAATGGAAAAGAAACTACGGGAACTGAAGCAATGACCATGCCATCATCGGTGGTAGATATACAAGAAGCCATATCATCGACATCATCACCATAAGCCACAACTTCTGGATTATCAATTATATGATCCCATGCACTAAAATTCCTCAATGATCGTTCTAGTCCATGACCACGTGCCTCGTTTCTGTGTCTCTACATGGACTAATAAGTCTGTCAACACGTACTGAAGAAGAAGAAGAAGAAGTGTAATTTTAAGAATCATTCCTGGCATAATCCTGGTGTGCATGACTTACCAAGCTGCTGTTGTTGAGCAGCGGCTAAGGCATACTGCTGCTGGGGAGTAAGCTGTTGGACTGCTATGGTCTGAGGGTTCTGTTGACGTTGCTGCTGGAAAATTTGCTGTAAGGGAATAAATCATGAACAGATCTAATGTCATAGGTGCTGGGAGATACCAGTTTGTGTTGTGCACGACTGTGTAATTGCATTACATTAATTGATGTATAATGGATGGGAGGAAAAGACTATGTGATTCATGTCGGTTGTCGGCTCTGTGAAAATAAGTTTCACACCTGCTGGTCAATTGCAAAGCTAAATATTCACATCAGTGGACTTGCAACAACCCTGTCCTTTGTCTGAAACAACGTCAGTGAACATTTGTCAATATCAATAATATCACGTAGATGATAGCCTTTATGTTTTAACATGTGCCTTTTAATCCTCTGAACTAATTTACTGTTCCCAGAAACCCGTTTACCATCAGTGCAAATTTGGTTGGTAATAAAACAGCCCAAATTGTTAAGACCTGTATACTGGTCAGTGAATGTCAGAGAATGTCAGTAAAAATTTGTCAATATCAATAATGTAGATGATAGTCTTTATGTTTCAACATGTGCATTGGAAACCTCTGAACTAATTTACTATTCCCAGATACACTTTTACCATCAGTGCAAATTTGGTTAGTAACAAAACAGCCCAAAATTTTTAAGATCAGTATACTGGTATAGAGCTTTCGTCTTTGGATGCCCAACAGAAACCAAACAGAATGGTCAGACCCGATGCAATGGGTCAAAACTGACCATACGGCCTTCTTACCTGGGATTGGTCATAATTGATGTAACTAGGGCTGTCCATGCTGTGAGCCATCTGATTCCCTGCAGAGTAGTCAAACTGCAGGCCTTCCATGTTCCCCACGTTCTCCATGCCAGCCCCGGTGTCGATCTGCAAGGGGTTCTGGACGCCGCCTTCTATGTAGGCCCCCTCTGAGGGCTGCTGGTGCTGCGGATGCTGGGGATGATGCTGATGGACTTTCTGGATCATGTTCTGTCGTTGCATGTCAGCCACCGAGGTAGCTGGCTGCTGCATCGCCACGTTCTTACCATCCTCTGGTTCCGTTGGGGAAGCGTTGCGGCTACCGGGTGTGCGACTATATAAGTACAAAAATTAGATATATACCTCCTGTTAATCACTGCTCTTTGTATATTAAGAAGCTCATGATCACAATACTATTAAACTATGGTACTGGACGCAATTGGTTAGTTTTTGCTGATACTGGAGTTCACTGAACTTGACTTGGAACATTTTGAAATACTCTGCTTTACAGCCAGTAAACATACCAACTCCATAAATTGTAAAACATGTTTGCATTTCAATAATACCACCTCTTTTCCTTTTTTTCTTGACATGTTCTTGTCCTTTCCAGATGATTCCACCAGTACTGCAGATTCTACCATGCGTACTTTTTAACAAAAGTAACGCTAGTTCCATTCGCACTTATGTGACCCCAAAACTGACCCTACATCCAGGGCCAAATCTTGACCTCAACCCTAATCCTAACCGTTGTCTTAACCGTGACAATGACCATGTTACATTGTACTGATGCCTTGTGGGCTTTTCTGTAGTTGAGCAAAAAAAAAGTTCCTTTGGTTAATTCAAGATGAGAAGAGTGCAAAAAAACGATGCTTGGAGAGTACAACGCCACTCACCTAAATGTGTTGGGATCCTCTTCAGGTTTTTGCTGGGGTACTGGATCTATGCCATTCTCTACTACTTCCTGCTTGTCTCCCTCTGCCTCAAAGGGTGATGGTGTCTTACTCTTCTTGCCGTTGCCCTGGGATTGCTGGTTAGAATCACCTCCTTGCTGATGCTGCACTCCACCACCATCCTAATAGAAATAGAGGACAGACGATTAATGGAAATAAACCCAAGACTTATGCTCCGTGTTCTCATACAATTTGTGGGTTCCATGCAAATGATTTTACGTTCAACTGTTAACCCACAGAATACAGGTACAGAATACAAGTAAAGAATTTGGAACAAGATTTTAATTTGTTTCAAGACTTTGTCAATATGTCAAGTAGTATTGCATAACGTAAATAAATATCAGTGGAATATAAGTCTTACAGACAGCACTTCACATCCAGTTTTGCCTGATTAGAATTCACTGGTGTAAATTATATCTTTTGCTGTTACAAAACACTTTACTATTTTCATGGATATTCAGCCTTCGTTCAAAATCATTTGGTAACTCCACATGGTGACTGGACAAACATTCTCAAAAGAATGACAACAGGTCATTTCATTGAATTAAAAAAGGCTGATATCGGACCTAGCTGTCAATCACGCTCTGCATTGGACACTTAAGTAACTGGGAATGAAAGAGAGAAAGAAGTGTTCATTACTTGACTTACAAATCCCGGTTTGAGCCTGTGGTGTTTCCCATCGATCTCTTTGCCCTGAGGAGACGAGGCCAACACGTATTCTGCCATGCTGAGTCCCAGGCCGCTGGTGTCCGAGCGGGGCGACATGACCGCATTCTCCTGGAACGTTCCCGTGCCGGGGGAGAGCTGTCGTCCTCGCTGCACCATGATGGGCTGTGATACCGAGTGGTCTGTGCATGGAGCAAGAGAGTGAGCCAGAGTGGGTAAGAAACAGCACAGCAACATGCGAGAACTGACAAACACATGACATTTTAAGTTTCTCTTTTCAAACACCAACTCATATTTTTTAATCACATACTCTCTTCCTAGTACAATTCTCCTTCATACATCATAAACAGCATGGCAAAGTACTGTACATGTAGGAAAATGCATGGTGTCGTGGAGGCTGTTGACATCCTACAGAAAAGCCTTTTTCAATTGAACGTAATAAATTTTCTTTTCATAAATCATCTAATATTTCCTCAATCTCAAACTATTGCGAGGGTGAGACAGAAGCAACGGATGCCATTGAAATATGTAGCCTTGGAGCCTTGTCCAATGGAACAAATACTTACTGGAACCAGCTATTCCTGTCCCTCCTACCCATGCATTGGCTGCAGGCCATGGGGTGAAGATGTCCTCATTTTTACTGTTCTCCTGGGAATCCCATAATTTCTGCATGAAGAAAGTGACATGGAAAAGGAATCAGAACATTAATAATGATATAAATGATAAGTCAAATCAAAATAAGCTGGTACCCATCATAATTGAGAAAAAAGGGGGAAAAGAATTTACAAACAAATCTAATGTATATAGTAGGCTTGCGGTTGCACCATGTGAGAGAGAGAGGGAGGATTGGGAAGTCCTGAAAAAGGACTCGATAATCTTTCTTTCTTGAGTGTACTGACTGTAATGCATAAAAACTTAGAAGAATTATTAGAGTGACAACATATTCTTAGTAGCAACTTTTCCTCAAGTCTTAGCGAGAGCAAATGAACATAAATGGGCAAGTGTAAGATATATCGCATATGTTACCAAGTATTACTGATATGTATAAAGGAGTTAAGAACATAAATTGACATGATTTTTATTTGAACGGTTTTGTATGCGTCAAGCCCTTCAAGTGCATCAGTATGATATAGTCATTAGATGTACTGAAATCATAGTTGTGAGGGACAAAAAAGCTTGGCCTTGCCCGAACACAAAGTGGAAATTTACCTCATCCATATTCCTTGGTCTATTGTCCCTGTCTAGGTCCAGGGCATGGAACTCATTGGTCATCCTACTCACATCTCCTGCAGAGCGAACCTGAATAGACAACGGAAGCAAAATAAGATTACCATGATCACATATTACCAAATAAGCATGAAAGACTTCAGGAGTGTCACCGAACCTTATGCTAGGTTTACATGTACATTATGTTCCCAGCGGCCACCCAAAACATATAAGGATGGACGTGAGACAGTGCGGGGGAACGGACTGGGCAATCTTGACAGCCGTGATTGCCTTGGATGCCGGGCCAGATTTGTAAACTGTCAACAAAATTGCCACGGCAATCACGGCGCGGATGAGAAACCTTGTGGGCCGTGGTAAAACTAGGTGAATGTGACAGTACGTAATGAAAAAAACTTGGCAAGTCCTAACAATAATTGAATACAGAGAAAAAAGTGCCAAAATCCGTCAGCACACTACGTTTTGGGCAAACGGGGCTAAACCTAGCATAACTTGCATGTTCTGACAGGAACCTAAAAATGGAAGCTAGCTAGACTTTGGTTTATCATAAGCAACATGAGTGCAAGACAGTACAAGTTCTTGGGCACCCCAATACTATCTTAGGGCCTACTGACATTGTTGTATGATGGACACTAATTAAGATAATGTCATATTCTAACATCTCTTTTGACAAATACCCAAAGAAAAAAAAAAGAAAATTGTTAAGGTAGAATTTCATGTGATTGAAAAACATTTCACTTATTGTTTGCTTCATTAAAAATGTTGCTTCAGATTGAACTTATTTCCTCAATGTGCATTATCACCTTACATGTTCACTAGCACTTGACGCACATTTTTTTTTAAAATAACAAATTCCACGTAAAGCCGGAAGATACTATTCTGTACAAAGTATATATACATGCATGAGTTAAAAGTTTGAGGAGAATCACTCATTTCCCCAAACATGACAGGATGAACATCTCTAGTATAGGCAGGTCAATAGCCAACAAAGGTATCACTTGTCTTTAAACATGTAGATTCACTCACCTGGTCGAGGACTGAGTCGTCCCCAACGGCCCATCTCTGCTTCGGAAACTGCCCTCCCGACTCGTTCATGGTGTTGCTAGGCCTCTGGTAGAAGTAACCTACTTGTGCGTCGTCTCGCGTGCGCTGTGGCTGTGCCATACGATTGTATCCCGGTCTCAACCCGCTGCTGTTAGAAAGTGCTTGACTGCCACCACTGTTGTTATTGCGAGCAGAATTCTCCCATTCAACATCATTCATGTTTTCCTTCTATGATACAGACCCGCTGCTTGTCGTCGTGTCCTGCTTGAGCTGCTATGTACAATATATATATATGCAGGCACCACACATTAGGCCTGAAAAAGAAAAGACAAAAGTAGATATTCATTTGTTTTGATAAGGAAATCATAGTGAAAATTGTCATAAATGGTATCCGATTGCTTGAAGGAATACATTTTTGTCCCTTTTAACACAGGAAAAAATATGTGTTTACTGTAGCAGCCAAATACTTTTTAATATGCATGCATTCCTTGGTTACTATATAATTGTTACTAGAGTAAAGGAGCCGGTTTTTGGCCACTTAAGACAAAATCCTATTTTTTGGACCCTTTACTTCCTATTTATTATCATTTCTTGTTGAAATCATGAAGCAAATATTATTATTATTTAAACAAAAAAAGAATCCCAGAAAAAAATCACGAATTACCATGACAATATTCATTTCAATTTTCACTGTTTCGGAGTCAGTTATCGGCATAGCGAAACCAGTTTTCGGCCGCATGTACAAAGTCAATAGGAAGCGCGCGCGTGCCGTGCGTTTCCGCACTGATCTATAGCACTAGCGGGCGGAGCAGGTATCCCATGCCGGAGCTCCCCGGAGCTCGCCAGGCCGAACACTAGTAGTGCCGTGATCGGAAATTGGAATCTGAATTAGACAGAGATATCGTGTGTGCGTTGCGGTGTGCGGCTGCATTGATTTAATACATGCGATGAGATACTTTTGAGCTTGCGACTAGCACAAAATCGGGCTCTAAATCTGAAAAATACTTGAAAAAAGGCTCATTTTATGGTACCCATATTTCTTACAGACACGTGTAAGATACTCGATTTTCCAGATTCGGGTAGCGGGACCGTCGATTACATCGCTAAAATGTGATATTTTAGGATATATTTTTCATTGCAAATGTGGTTCTTCAGTGACACTGGCATGGTATGGTATGTGTGGGATATGTGTTGTGCTATTATGCCATGTATTTTAATGTGATTTTACCATGCATCCAACCAATCGGCCGAAAATTGGAGCTGGTCGATTACCGGCTCCTTTACTCCATCTCATATGAAGAAATTTTCATCCATGTTTTGCAATGTTTAGTATTATTATTATCACTACTCTAAAAGTATTAAAAAAATAGAAGAAAAAAAAAGGGAGCCGCCATTTTGATTCATGCTAAGGCTGCGACAGGTAGTCGAATGCTCGAGTACCCGCACGGTTGACAACTACTCTATATTTTAAGTGACTATAAAATCCTGTTAGAGGAATAAATTTCTTTTCTTTTGATGGGCAGATTGCCAAATAAAAGAGGTAAGAATTCAAAATATTAGCGATTTCCCCTTAAAGGAATAGTTGAGTGTTGGTCAATACTCACATTAGCGAACGAAACTATGATCTAAACATAAAAAACATACAATAAATGTCTAAGAATGCATCATTGAAGATATAAATCCGAAATATTACATTAGAGTGAATTTATATGCAAAAAACCTGTTCGACTGCAAATGATTTTATTTATCAAAAATTTTACTTTCGAGGCGTGTTCAGTGTAATTGTATAGCGCCACCTCTCGGTCAAGCGGCAGCACACCGTGAATTTTCGCCAAGACGACGATCGGATATGGGCGTGCAAGTAATATCCGAACCATGTCTATAGCGCGCTGACTGATTTATATTGTACACATTATGGTATGCGAGGCCTGCACATAATTGCATGGTCTGTGGTACTGGTAGCGCTTTTGTTTTTGAGCGCGATATGCGAATACTGTATGTGTATGTAGTGCGAGTACGCTCGACCTAGTAGTAGTGTATGTGTATGTATTGTACGTCGTATGACCCAGTTGATTACTTCTACAGTGTAAAGAAAGTGGCTTACTCTATCTATCAACCAATATGTGAGACAACGCAAGGGCAATTTTGTATTTCGTTTGTAGGAACAAAGCTGTGGAATGATCTCCCAGATGAAATTAGATTAAAAACATCGAGGTTATCTGTCCACCTACCTTCTATGTAAATGACGTGGGCCTTCGTTTTTCCTTTTATATTACTTGTCTTCCTTTTATAATATGTGAAGAGTTTCATTCCAAAAGGAGCCAAATCCACTTTGGGTACTTCTGAGTAAATTGCCTTTTTTATTTCTCCACTTTCCCTTTAGCCATGTAAACCTTCATGTTGTTATATATGTTAAAGGTGTCACCCTGCATGGACCTGATTATCTGCCAATAATGATAAGAAAAAATCTTCCCTTCGGCTTTTCTGATGTTTACTAAATTTTTTGATTTTTTATTTTCGTGGATTTAGCTCCTTTTGGAATGACATGTTATTGTACCTAAAAAATAAAAAATAAATCATATTTTCTCAATAAAGTCACTGAAATTTTATTCAAATTTAGCAGCAAACCTTTCCTTTTAAATAATAATAGTGAAATCACACATAAATATAACCTTTCGAAAAGAAAGTAAACAACATTATTACAGTTTCATTCCAAAAGGAGCTAAATCCATTCAATTCCAAAAGAAGCTAAATCCATGTTTCATTCAAAAAGGAATTACTAAATCCACATTTTTTTTTGGCACATATCGCACGACAACCAAATGCCCTAAGATGTTGATACCCACTTTGATAGAAAAATAAGGTTTTACAAAATGGAAAAATACTAGAAGAGAAAAGGTAAGAAAGAGTAAAGACGGATTGAGGACGGTAAACCCCAAACAAGAGACTCAAAAGATCTACCCCAGAATCCTCTCACCGGCACCAGAGTTGCCTAGGCCAATGATGGCCGAGAAGATTGCGCAATGTACCGCGCCGGTCTGGCAGGAAGGTGCCAATTGCGGTGAGGGGTTTTCATGGACCAGTAGATCTGAGATTATATTATCCAAAAAAAAGAGATGAATATGAATTGACAAATAGTACCAAAAATAGAAGAAAAAAAAGAAATAAAGTGAAAGGCGTAAATATTCTAAAAAAGAATGAAACGCCGATAATACCAAACAACAACAACAACACAAAATCTAAAAATTTGATAGAAATCAGAAATAACTGGTGGATTTTTTGTCTTATCATATGTTATAGGTCCAGAGCGACACCTTTAACATATATAACAACATGAAGGTACATGGCTAAAGGGAAAGTGGAGAAATAAAAAGAAATAAATTAAAAAAAATATTAAAAATTGTTGTATCAGTATACTATAATGAATAACAGTAGTGAATTAATTTAACATCTTACTTGATTCATACTTGTCCATAATGCAGTGTTTTTCAGTATTCTTATTTTGGTACTGCATGCAATTGTAAAGTTTAAAAAAAAAAGTGATTGTAACTTCTTGTAAATAAGTTGTGTTCTACAGTGCCTGTTTATTGCATGACCTACGTCAGTACGTGATAACTTGTAAATGTGTAAAGACATAAGATTTTAATATAATTATAGTAATGCTAAAATGAAGATACATAACATATTTTTATGGTGTACATTGAAAGCTTTATTCGGCCATAACTAACAGTTAAATTTACACAACATTATTGAGATGAATACAAATTATAATTGCTGTACTGAAGGCAATATTTAAACGTGATGTTGATTTCAACCATTGCATACAAACAGATCATGTGTATTAAAAAAGGCACATTTTTATTTAGCATCTATCGCTATGACAACTTTAACCGTCGTCATTAAGAAGGAGCAATATACTTTATTTGTATACCACCATGTCTTGTTACTTATTAGTTACTGCTTATTTATATACATCTTATCTTGTGTCTTTCATAAAAACTTGACATACTCTATAGGCAATGTGTAGATAAGTTTACCAAAGAAAAGTATCTATAACAGTAATGTTTCTACGCGCTTGACAAATATACTATTACCCCGGTCATTTGATTCAGTGCTTGCCCGCACACAATGTTTTGACTAGTACGTGATCATACAAATTTTGCCGAGAAACTGCCTACTAATTGATATATTTGGTAAATTATTATATCTATTTGGACTTGATAGATATAACGCATGTGTCGCGCACTTGTGCGTAGTCCCATATACATCTTTCTGTGTACAGTGCTTGTAACTTTACCAAGACTGGGCCAATTTTTTTATCATTTCGATGATTCTAGAACCTTGCAGTACACACCAAGACTTATATGCTAGATGATCAACCTTTTCTGATCGATTCCACAACAATCCTTTCACAATGCAGTCGCATGACCATAACTGGTTTTATCTTTTAAGTTTCACATCTTACTTTATATATAAATGCTTTAAAAATTGTCTGAGTGATTCTTTTCCTTAATGTGTACGAGTATACATGTATACATACTCCTTATCGATCTCAAATCCTGAATCATATCAGTTTCAGCACAAAATTAAGTATAGTTAGGTACATATATGTCTTTCATCTTCCCTAATGCTCGACTATGAATATCACCTCAAGTGATTAACATCCAACATAAGGTTTTTCAAAAAAATAGCACAGACATTTCAAAACTGGTCATGTCCTATACGCACACAAAAGACAATTCTGCGTTGTGTGTACTGAGTTTCATATGAATCGATCAAACTACTTCCAATAGTTTGCTCACATACTTATTTTACACACTCCACATGCATTGAGTTTTATACTGTTATTATAATGCCTCATCAAAGATACCAAAACTATAAAATTGCTAAAACTTGGAAAGAATATGCTCCACAAGATTATTAAAACAAAATTGTATTCTTTGTGCAAAGCTTGGTTACCATGGAGGTACCTTAACAGACAGACACAACAAATGTGTCTTGCACACCCTCGGGTCAATCGGTATACCAAGTTTTATTACAATTTGCAAAAAAATTGGAAAAAATTTGACCCAGTTTTTTACAATGGACCAACAGAAAGACTCGCCTGCCCAACTGTATCCTTATTCCTTTATACACCCTTTCAAACTACAAAGTAGTTACAGGCAGCATATCTCTTGATGGTATAACCTTGAACCGCAATACTTTGGCGTTGAGCTGATTCACGTTCATTGATTCAAATGATGCATGAAACCAACTGTTTTGCTGTCTTGTGATCATTTCTCTTTTTCGCTTGCATTATTTTAGTCACATTGAT